TTGCAAGAAATGGTTTAATCTAGCCACATTGCTTTGCTTTTTGTCTGAACCATGTTGGCTGACCAATAAACAACAGCCAATAGTGGGTATACAGTATATCAGACCAAACAGCAACGACATTTGCGGTATCTAGGGGCAACTTTACAAATGGCAGAAGCTCGACCCATATAATATTAGCATTCCTGTAAATGTTGGAGTAAGCTTGGTGAAAGCTGCAGCATCAGACGTGTGTTCTAATCAATGAATCCAGGTAGGCTGACGCATGCATTTCATTCATGCATTTAGAGAGGGACATTCCATACGGGTGGCTGTTCAAGCTTGATGTTTTTGTAGCTGTGTAATGCATTTGAAACAGAGCGGAAGCCCGAACATTACTTGTCTGCCTGCTTCCTTGCTTTATCTTGCTTTTTTCAACTTATGCACCAAAGGCCAAATGTGCGCTTGTGCACAATTATTTTGTACACATGCACAGTTGCACACAAAGATTTTTAAGACCTTAACCAAAGAAGCTAGGCGAGCTGTTATATTATCCACTAACTGCATTGCAGTGCCAGTTGTGTAGCCTTAAGAAAAGCACTTGCCAGTGACAGGAACTAGAAAAGATTGTTCGGAAGAACCAAGAGTAGACGCAATCACACAATTATGATTTTAATGTTCATAAAACTACCAGTAAATGTTTCCTCAAGGGTAAACTCTTGGCTTTGCCATGAAATTTGCTGACACTGCAATAAACTTATGCAATGCAATAAACAAAGGCAGAGGTAGTCAGCAGCGTCATGTGAATGAGTTCACTTGGCTGCATGTGGATTGGCTATCACAGTTTTGAATTATAGATTGGCTAAGCAAGAGATAGCAGAACACAAATAGTACAGCAACACAGGCAGACAGACAATATAACAATACTCACATCAATACTGTATAGTCTGTATCATCTGCGAAAAATTACGAATGGCCTACTTCTGTATCTTACTGAGTCACTTAGTTGTGAACCTCTTTTGCGTGTATCATATATATATATATATATATATATATATATATATATATATATATATATATATCTGTACTATATAGCCTTGCGTTAGCCATAATTTGTTTTAGTTGTAAAAAAATGAATCCTTAATTTTATAAAATGAGAAAAATCTGCATTATTTCATATTAGTCTTCTGAATTTTAATCTGATCATCAAGTGGCTTGAGTCCCCACATATGCTGTTGTTGTTGTCATTATGTATGTTGTTGGTTCAGGGCTTTAAAGCCCATATGCATCCAAAAATGCAAACTATACAAATAATGCAAATCGAACATCAAGAGTTAGGTGCAAACTCAGTTGAATTTTATTGCTTCTATAATTATTGCTCGCACATTTGTTCTTGGAATATTTCTAAAGCAAACTGAGTTAGGTGTTTCAGTTAAAAATTGGCTGCCCCATCACATGATGTTTGAGTGAATCTCAACATGGTTCATTTCACACATCTAGATTCAGTGGTTTGAGTTTTTGCACCTTTTTGGTGAATTCTGGAGTGCTGACTACACTTGAATGATTTCACATGCTTTTGCGATATTTTGGAGCACTGACAGCAGACTCTATTCAGCTACGCGTTTGAGACCTCTGTACTTCAAGGTATACTGATCTCCATCACAACCTTTAGTGAGTTTTAGGGCTAGCTACCATGATTTTTGCTCGAGCTTTGAACAAAATCACTTAGTTTGGTGCACTTGGAAACCCTGCTTCTGCTTCCTGAGGAAATTATAAAAAGTATTATTGTTGGCTTCTGGGCTCCTCAGAGGAGTTATAGTCTTCCCACTAACCCTTCAAAGTTTGACTGCTTGGCAGTTCCTTTTGGTGTGCGTGCCGGCGGCTTGTGTCATTGTCTATGTGGAAGTTTACAAGTTAAATGTGACTTTCTGCCGGATACAGACAAACCCACAATGCTGTGCCCAGACTGTCTGGAAAATCCAGAGAGGGAATTTTTCAGTCTCTATTTGGGTTGTTTTAATTAGATATGTTGTTTAAAAAGCCTCATGGACATCTTTTTCATTTATTTATTTAGTAATTAAGAAAACTCAAGTCATGTAAAAGGTCCCACACAGGTAGCTGTGCAGTTCACCACCTGTTTGTCTGTGGCATCGTTTCATTTCAATTATTCCATAAACAATACAATTCATGGCCCATCTCTCGAATAAATTAAGATAAAAAAAACAAAAAAATGAATAGGGCAAATTCAGTTCTGCAATTGAAGGGAGTGTAACTTATTTTGAAGATTGATTCTTTAGCAACGAGGGCGAATAGTTTGGTGCATCAGGGTTTGAGTCACACACTCTTGCAATGTTCAGGTGTTTCACAGTGCTTCTGGGTTTGAATTGTTGGCACTGGGCCGTGGTTGATGTTTGTGTGAACGGTGATGTGTGACACTAGGGGTGTTTTCTGCATGTATTTAAATGAGTTTGTTCCCGCCGACAGGAAAGGTTGCAGGACTGTTTGTGTTTACGATAAGCGGAGAGAGCGCTGGAGGAGCCCAGCAGAGAACAAGACTGTTGGATCTTGTTACACACACATAGTTTGTAAGCACTACTGCCTGCAGGAAGCAATAATGTTAGCGTGCTTCCGGAGCACCATATCCGTCTCTCAGGGGAGTGTGGATGTCCTGTCCAGCTCAGCAGGGCAAAGCCAAGACTACAGTACTGTACAAAGTTATTTGTATAAGTTATTTGTGAATTAGTCTACGTTACTCTAAAGCTTAGCGTGATTAAAGAGGTATATTTTTGTGGAAAATGTTCAAAATCCCAATTGTATGATGCTAAGACGCATTTAAATTTAGCATTGCCACTCTATTGAGTTTGTTCATTTTTTACAGCACACAGATTTGTTATAGGAAAAACAATGTAATTAAGTCCACACACTTTTCAGTTAATATCCTCCTCTCCTCTGTGTGTATGTATGTGATGCATTTGTCTTCAGCTGGGTCGCACAAAACTGTTCGGACACGAAGAGAGCAGTGGAAGGCAAGCCAGCCTGTGGGGATAGTCTGTGTGTCAGTCCTCATCATTTATGTATCCCACTGTGAGCCAGTGATAGTAGAGCGTCCGCTTGTCCCTTCCTTCAGCATTCAGCAGTGCTTCAAACTCTTTCTTCCCTTCGTTTTGGTGTTTGGTGCTCTTGCAAGCTTTGTCTTTGTGTCCATGGCATAACTGTCTGCGTGTGGCCACTTGATAGTATCGATCACTCAAAAAAGAATGGTGTATGAAATAATTGCTGTTACATTGATTGATTCAGTATGTTAAGTCTCGGTGCCGCTGAAGGGATTTTATTTCCTGTCCATCCGACCATCCTATTTGTATAGAGCTTGTCCTCATAAGGTTTGTGGGTGAAGTGGTACCTTGACTGGTCACCAGCCAACTGCAGGGAGGTTATTGGCTTTTTTTGGATTCTCGTGCTTCACGTACAGTGTTACCTTGACAAATGCCCCAAATTATTTGTTTAAGAACATAGAGTAAACACTAGTTATAAGCTTGCTCCCGGAAACAAACTCATAAGTCAAGATACCACTGTAACACCATAAATATTTTACTGCACTGTATTTTATTTTATTTTTTTAAATGTAAGAAGGTGAGTTGTTGCTACTGGATTCAGATTTATATCGTATAATAGTTCTACCAAGATGTTCACAACAAGCAACTCACACGATCAGGGAACCATTCAACATGCATAATTGCACACAAACCTTAATGTGCTCACACAGCCCTTGAGACCAAAGAAAGCGGTGCCCGATGACAGGACCATAACTCTTAAGGGAATATCATACAATATGGACTACTGTTATGATGGATCACGTGGGAGGAGACAAAAATAAATAAATAAATAAACATTTTTAATGGGGGTGGCACGGTGGAGGATTGGTAAGCACGTCCGCCTCACAGTGCCAGAGGTCCAGGGTTCGATTCTGAGCTCAGTGCTTCCGATGTGGAGTTTGCATGTGTATACTGTATATATTGCATCCATTCAATATGGTGAATAACTGGTTTGTTACATGTTTTCCAAGAATTCTTGACACAAAGAGAAGCTTAGAAATGGGGCAGTAGTTGCTAAGAGTCAAGCGGTCAAGATGGGCTTTTTTTGACACACACACACACACACACACACACACACACACACACACACACACACACACACACACACACGCTGATTTATATAGCGCTTTCACAACAGCGGTAGCTGTAACAAAGCGCTTAACAAAACAGTTAACAAAGTAAAATAATAAACACAACACCTAAGTGGTTGTACAATTGCTTGCTCGAAAGCAAATGTGACACAACCAGAAGCCAGTGAGTAATTGATAATCAAGAGCAAAAAAGGACAAATATAGCTGAATATAGTTTTCAAAAGTTATCGGCAGGCTATCTATTGAATTGGAACTGTTGTTGTCCGTGGCCCAAAGTCGGCTCGGATCGGCTTCAAGGAAAGGGGATGGATGGCTTAATAGACTGCTATTCTGAAACAAGACTTGCTCAGTAAAAATGATGTATTTATTATTGGGTTTTTGTTTTTACATGGTTCTCTTCACTTAAACGTGCCTGAGATCATGAAGCAGAAGGAATAAAAAAAAAAAGTCAGCTTTGTTATTTAACTGTTTTTGGTTTTGTGGCATTCTGTTTCGAAGTAGCCCTAAGTACTGTTGTCGCAATGTACTTTCCACGTTCGGTATCTGCTGCTTCTTTGGTACTTATTGACATTCTTTCGACATGAAGCTTGTGCTGCAAGTCTTTGCTTGTACAATCTTTCTCGCCATGTTGCAGTGATGGGGGATGGAAGGCACATCATCGTCATCCTTTGCTTTATCATTATGACGCTGTGCTATAATGTACAATCATGTTTGTTCACAGATCACACACTGACCCTGATAACGCTCCGATTTATAGTTCTACCTATTTTGCTATGTTTTTCTTCCACTCATTACTGACATCCCGTTCCTGCTTTTTTTTTTTTTTTTTTAAACTTTACAGACCCTGGTAGGAGCGTGATGAGCGCGCGCTTCCGCTTGCCTCCTGGCAGATCCTACAATGTCCGGGCGACGGAGCTGGAGCGAGACAGGCACCACACACAGGTTGTGTGCAACGTACTGCTGCTGGACAACACCGTCCAGGCTTTTAAAGTCGGCGTAAGTACTTCAGTGGAGCTTGCCTTTCAGCCTTGAGAAATAATACTCGGTGTTGTGCTCATCCCACAAACACATGTTCCTTTTAAATGAAAGACAGAAACAGTAGGGATGTAACAACAAACAATTCCTAAAATCCGTTTTGATTTAGAAGATGCAGGTTTAATGAATCGAGCCAAATTGAATGAACTTTAAAATAGATCGAATTATCTTTTATTGGAGGGATACTGTATATCTTTGAAGGTATTCCCACATTAACAGTACTGACAAGTTCCTTCTCATGTATATAAAATGACAACAAGAAACTCACTGCATCAAAACTGAATCAAATCATTTCACTTTAAAATCCAATAGGCCTTGAATTGCACCCCATGTGTCAAGATACGTATTAAATTGTCTTTTAATGGTGAGATCCATGCCCCTAAAAACAGGCTTTATCCAAAATGTTTTGACAAGAAGCAAGAATAGATGCATTATGTAAAAATACCAATTCCAGTCAATTGAAGAACATAATGTCAAAAACACATTCTCTCCAACCTATCCTAAAGAATTTCTGTCGACCTAAGAAGTCCTTTTTGCATAGAATTTCACTTACAGATTAATCATCTTAAAACACAATACCACTGTAAACTAAGGTACTTTACAGATTAATAAAACAAAGTACTTTTCAGGAAGCCCATTGAAATACTAGATATACAAAAAGAATCCCCCATTGAATTGTAAACATGTTCACGCTTTACTAACTGTGCATCTACAACCACTTCAGTTGAGTGAGTCTTCCGGACCCTTCATCTATTTTGACTTGAGAAATGTACTGTGTGTTATTACTTTTGGTGGCACTATGACGTGAATCAAAGTGCTGATTTCTGTGGTTGATTAAGGCCACTCATAGAAGACAGTGATGATGGTGCGTTTATATCTGTCTGCATGTCTTCTGGTGTTTTTCACATTTGCAGCCAGTGGAGCCTCACATAAAAGGAGGTGTCACGTTTGGTCCTGACTAATATTACAGCAGTCTATTACCAGATGCGCGAACACATTCAATTCCCCCTTTGTGTCTGTTTTGATACGCCTGTCGAGAATGACTTGCTCATAAGTAAAATCCCTGTTGTGACTCACAAAACATGCACGATTCTTCCAACGACATTACTCCAGATACATCACTTCCTGTTGTAGACATGGTCCTGTGCGTGTTTGAGTGCAGAACGCACACCTGCATGCTCATTGTAAAGCAAATATGCCCTGATGAAGGGTGTGTCTTCGAATTTGACAATATAGAAGGATGTCCCTGCACTCGTTGTTGATGCAGGTGGTGCTTGGGTGTGTTGCTGAGACCAAGCCTATGCCTCTGGCTATTGAGCTACTTTCAGTGTCTTCAAAGCGGAATAGCTTGAGGAAGGGAATTGAAATATTATTCAAAACGTCATGTCAAATGCCAAGCACATGAGGTTTTTTTTATCCAAGAAATGCATCCAGCTTCATCCCACAATCACAAAGTAACGAAATGAAAATACATTATTTTGTCCACTCACCCTCTCTGCTTCCTGCTCACGATTCCCCACAATCCCCCTTTCCTGCATGGAGCTGAATGAATGACTCGGTCTCTGTCAGTGTCATTGATCAGACCCCCGCAGCCGCAGTAACTTCCTGGAAAGACCAGCCATCCTGCGAGCCACAATACTTCTATTGATTCTAGCCTTGACCGGCCTTCATTCTAATGGCGAGTGAAAATCCAGAGGCACTTGCTTATTGTCATGGGAACAGAAACAATGCCGCACACGCATGTTGCTTACATGGAGCGATCTGTTGAACCTTGCATTAAGACTAAAAAGGTTCTTTCCACAATGGAGCCTCAAATTGTGCCAGTTTGGAAGCACAGTCGGAACCAAAACCAAACCAATCTAAAGGCCATGTTGTATCACATGATCTTTCACAATAAAAAATATGTGTCTGGGTTCCAAGTGAGATCTAGCTGGCCGTTGCCCAGCCATACCAGTACAGTATCGACAGCAGGGCTCACCAACCTTTTGAAGCTGAGAGCTACTCCTGGCTGCTGAATAGTGCAGAGCTATCAGTCTGAAATAACACATTTTCTGAAATTACGTTAAACACGACATTATTATGTGTTATTATTTGGGCTAGAAATAAAGTCGGCAAACTCGACCACCAAAATTGGTTCATGCAATAATTTACGGACTATCCTGAAAAAGTTGAATAATTGATAGGATAATACATTTTAAAAAGATTAGTTAGTGGTAGCTCTATTAGTAATTGGCATTCACTTTTGCAGATCATGTTCATTATTTCTCTCAATGATTATTTAGGAAACAGATAAGTACCCATATACAACACTATTTCTATCAATCTCTTCATTTGTTTACATTTTCAAGTGATCACTCATACAACATGCCTAGAAAATTGCAATGCCTCATCTTTGGTGAGCTACGTTTGGATCAAGCTCATGGGCTACTTTTGGGGTCCTTGGAGGCTACCTGGTGCCCGCATGCACCACCTGATCCGACAGTGTACATAGTTTATGAGTGCTAGGATTGTGATAGTGGTACATACTGCCTTTCACACAGATTGTGTTGGGTTCCCGCTCAACTGCTGTTCCCAGGGACAGATAAAAATACGTGGGGTGCATCAGGAAGGGCATCTCGCATAAAAACTGTGCGTGACTTGTGGCTACCCCTGAGAGGGAAAAGCCTAAAGTCACTTCTACAATATACATGGTGAGATCTATAGCGTTTTACAGTAGTTTATTGTAATTGTTTTAAATAACTTAACATATCTATATATTTTGCTTTGGCGGGGGAGTGGCAAAAGTTGAAGCATGGAGACTCTCTGTCACTGAAATTGTAACCCCCAAAGTGTTAAAACTATGAGGTGGATGTACTCATCACTCGTTCACCTTTCCACTAAATTACAGTGTTGCGGACACTATTTATATCACCTCACTAGAACTTAAATAATGTGACTTTGGATTAATTCTATTTTCAGAAAGGAAGAGAAATCTGAACAAATTGATGACCAGAACAGTGATAGAATGGATTGTGTTTGATCTTAGTAGTTCCATTGTACGGTACTGAATAAGTAACTTAAAAGCGATTATAATGGAGGCATGCGGAGATTAATATTGCGCATTCAGAAGTTAAATGAGGTTCCCAATGAATGAGGTGGTCACATTTTCTTTAAAACTGTAAAAATACAGTTTGTGAACTTTTACACATTTTTTTTGTTGAAATTCATCCATCCATGTATTCATCCATTCTTTTTCTAATCTACTGCTCCTGACTAGTCTCCCAGGTGACCTTGAGCCCATCCTTTTGGTTGAAAGGTAGGGCCTAAACAGGGCACATTCTGGACAACTATTGACTCACATTGAAATCTAAAGGAAGGACAATTTGTCGCCTTCAATGAACATAACATACATTCTAGGTTTGAACGTGAGGCGGATATGCTAGCCGTTAGTTCACAGTTTGTGGAGATTATTTCTTGAGATTATCTAAATTCTCAAAAATGTGTATTTTTTTATGGTTAATGCGGGGGGGGCAGACTGTTTCTTCATCAGACAGTTGTAATCACCTCATCATGTGATGTCAATGGAAATTCCCGAATGGCTAATAAACAGATTTGGTTATTAAAGATTTTGCCCTGTTTTTTTGCCAAGAAGTGTGCGTGTGCGTGTGTGTGTGTGTGTTTATTTCTTTTTAGTTCTGCGCAGAGTAAAAAAGAAGCACTTGAAGCACAGCATTCAGTTGTTTTTATGAAGCATGTTATACAAATGTACTTGTATGTAAGTTAATTCTCCCGCAAGTTGCATTTTGGCGTGGTTCAGTGAAGACGAGCCCTCTTGTGTCACAATCTTTTATTTCCCCTTGCAGTTCGGATGCCCTCTGTCACCACGTATTTTGTCTGCGCCTCGTCTCCTCACTTTCACGCACGGACACACTATTTGTGTCAGTGATTGTGGTAGGCCGATGAAGAGAACCACAAAAGAGCGTTTGTCTCATCCAGCAGAGTCGTCAGTCACTCCTTTTTTCTTGGCTGCTCTTTTTGTCTTTTTTTTCCTCTGTGACTCTCTGTCTTCATACTTTCTTTCAGTCTATGTGTTACACACACACACACACACACACACACACACACACACACACACACACACACACACACACACACACACAAACACAAACTATCTTGCTTGCCCTTGTTGTTTGTCTTGTCTTACTCTCGCCGTAGTTTCCGTTTGATATCATGCTTAGTTCCAGCCCGTCGTCCCTCCAGAACACCCAAGTTTGCTCTCAAAGTTTGTTGTTAAAAAGAGCAGAAAGAATGCGCGGACATGCTCTCCCTTGTTCTTGGCTCGCTTTTCACAATTCACGACTGTTCGCTCCCTTTGCACATTTTCCTCTCATGCTTTTAAGAACCGCCACACTTGTTCCAACACACATACACTGAGCGGCAAAGGCTTCCCTGTGAAGAAAAAACAACAAGGAGCTCTGAGCGTGTGCACATCTGACTTTGGCAAGCTGCTTCAGACGATGTGGAAGCTGTAAGCACGGCTATGAATAGCCTTAAAAAGGGAAGGAAGCCCTTGTGGAAATATGTTTGATGCAAATAGTGTGCCATTTTATATCAGTATCTTTAAGTGTCAAATTGAAAGAGATTAAATACTTTGTATAAAAAATGCATTGAAAGAAAGTGTTATTCATGGCAAGTGTCAGTAGGTTGAATGGTGTCTGTGTGAATTCTCTGATGAATCAAAATCGGAATCATACAAAATGTTAATAAGCACTATTTTAAGAATATACAGTAAACCTCATATGTTGCGTTGCTTTTTTAATGTAGCGCCTGCCAATAGACCCGCACCTTGTGATGTCACACACAGCGCTTGCAGCATGAGGGCAAGCGGCCGAATGAGATCAACGTCGAGAGGCAAAATAGTCGCGAATTCCGTTGTGTGTTCATAAAAATCGTGAATACCTGTGCTGTTTATGGTTGCTCTAATTGATCAACTAGAGATGAGAAATGTTATTTTGGGATAATGGCAGCGACTCTAAACCAGGGGTGGAAAAAGGAGGAAATTGTGTGTCAGACGACAAGCACGACGGCTATCAAATCTTTGACATGACCACGTTAGATCATCAAGGATATATGCTCTGATCACTTTATATCAGGTACTGATTTCTTTTTCATGTGCAGTGAGTCATCAGATTAACCTTTGGAACTTGCCTGTTTGCACACCCATTCAAGTTTTACTTTGCATTGCCATTCAACTTCAATCTGTTAATTATGTAGGGTTGCAAATTTTATATGTTGATGGAATATCATAGAACATTTTTCATCAGTCTTGCACACATTTTCACTCGATAATAACCACACTTTAAACCCAGATGTATTACATTATACATATACAGGTATATCCTGCCCCTTTTCAGTTGCAGTCCCAGTGAAGTGATGCGACCTCTTTCCTAAATGATTCTTATCAGGTCCCACTGGTCATAATTCTCAATTGACCTAGAACCAAGACCTACCAAGAACTTAATGCATTTTTAATAATATTCAGCCGGCTATCCTACCAAGAACTTAATGCATTTTTAATAATATTCATTGTGATATGGCTATGAATCACATCAGTGCACGTTTGTGGATTACGGCTAACCATCAGTCTAGTTTTTTTTTTTTTTTTTTTTCCGGGTAACCTTGAATTACGTTAACCACTTCACATGATATCCTTTGGACACATACTTTTTGATGTGTCGTAAATTGGGAAGTGAAGTGAGCAGTCGGGAAAATATGAGCAGAACACAGACTGTGTTAGTCAGTGTCAGTTCACACACACACACACACACACAGGGCTAATAGACGGCTGGGGATCCTTGAGGCCCGCCATAATCAACAAGCCAACTGTCAACTATCCGCCCGCATGTGCCTTGCGTTGGCAAATTTGCGCATGTTCACGGTCACACACTGGGCTGCAAAAGTGTGTCACCGGGGAAAAGAGAGAGAGAGAGAGAGGTGGAAGAAAGCAGTAGGTTAGTGAACGTGTGCGTGCGTGTATTCTCCCGCGGGAGCTCTGATAGTGTAGTTGTAGTTACAGTGTGTAACTGTTACACACTCGCACTTGATTTTAGCGGGATCAGATGTGAATTTTTGTTTCACATGTCGTTCCACAGTTTATCTCCTCAGTCTTACAACTCTTTCTTTGATTGTCAATCAATGAATACTGACAACTACATGGTGCCGTAGTGACAAACAATGGGGTTGTAGCTTATAAAACAGATTTTTCTCCATATGAATGCCTCATTTTGCTGAAGGAAAAAAAAAAAACCAAAACAAAAAACTATTACCTTTACTCTCGCTATGTACCTGTACACGCACATGCTGATTTGGTTCTGCCATTGATATTTAGCTGCTCATGACAGAAGACAGATGCATAAACAGTGTGGAATTAGACAGTGATGTACATTAATCTAAACAAATTGCCAAAAAGTGTCTTTAAATTTGTTATCCAAATAAACTGTTTTACTTTTAGCAATGTTTTGATGATAATGAATGTCTTGGCGGCTTACAATATTCATAATGTTTTGTCTTCAACCTCATAATGTTTCATCTCTATCATTCATATTCAAGTTTGATAAAAGACTGCCTTATAATTCATTACAATCTATCTCCAATTCTTGTCCAAAGTCTCCATAGATATGTTCAGAAAGCAGATTTCAAAGCACATTGCAATTAAGTGCAATTTTGACTGCACGCATCAGTTTACCCTTACCAGCTCTACACTTACTATACTACAGTATCCCTCAGGCTGAGCTTCCCTCTTTGTACATTTTCTCTTGCTAATTGTTGATGAATGAGTTTTTCCCCGTGAACTTTAATATCCCAGACAAGTATGGAGGGGAAATGCTCTTTCCAGCTCCATAGTTTGATACAACGTGGCACTTGCAGTGAAGTTCTACTGACTTAGATATGATTTAATTAGTTCCTTCCGTGTCTTCGTAGCCTCTTGTGATGTTTTACTTGAGGAATTCGGTAACAGCAACAGACAAGGGCATGCCTCAGAGATCTGCAAAGGAACGTGTGCCTTTTAAAAAGGCAATTTTGTGTCCCAGTTGTACAAACAAGTTTTCAGATTCAGATTTTTTTATGTATTTTCTGCATTGTGTCCCTATCTGCAGAAGTCTGATCATGGGCAGGTCTTGCAAGATGCTGTCTTCAAGCACCTGGAGCTGACTGAAAGAGACTACTTTGGCCTGCACTTGGCAGATGACTCTTCGGATGTTCCGGTCAGTATCATGTTTGGATAATCCAGGAGCGTGTGTTTATATGAACATGCTTGTGGTTCAGTTGGCTTGTTGGCCATTTTTTTTTCTTTCTGAAATATAGGCAGTGTTGAAATTAAAGTTATTTAATTTCAGTGCACAATGCCTTAAGAAGTGTCTGTAAAACTCTTTCAGTTTGTATTCGAATTATTCTTATTAAGGTAGCGACAATAACTGCACTCAAAGAACATAACAAATAATAATTACTGTTTTTTACTAACGCATCACAAATAAACCCTAATGAAGGGAGCCCGAATGTGGCCCCTTAAGGGGCAAGTCAGAGAGCGCTTCCCTCAAGATGTGAGGTGGAACATGTTCGCAGAAGTGAGGCTGTATCGCTTGGCCGTCTGTGTTGCAAACATCTTCAAATTAAGTCAATCCAAATGACTTTTTTTTTCACTGTAACTTTTAGAATTAATTGTATTCATCAGTGTAGTTTAAATGCTAAAACTCTCTTTACTTGCATAAGAATGGATGCTCTTTTTACTTCCTTACTTGTTATTTTCATCTATATGTTTTTTTTATTATTGCGTTTTCAACTTCGGTTTGTCTCATGACTCTGCAAGAAATTAATAAAATTGTTACCATCCATTTACATACCTACCTTATATCCATCCAGACCATACATGTCAAACATTTATCAATTTCATTCATTCGGTATGCAAGTTTGTTTCTATCGTCGCTCACAGTGTTTGCATATTTCTAATTGTTTTGTATGTGTGTGCGTGTGTGGGGCCAGCAGTGAATAATTTAGGTGATGTAGTCATGCTGTGGAAGCGTTATGGTGTCTCTAAGTGTCTCTCAATCAATATTTTACAGCGCTGGCTGGATCCCAACAAGCCCATCAGGAAGCAGTTAAAAAGTAGGTGAAATCCACAACATAGCACTTTAACCAAGCACCTCAGACAGTTTTCCAAGCAGTCACTCATACCAGGTTCTCCCAAATTGCCCCGAAATTCAGACTTCATCAGCTGGTTGAAGCTGTAATCTGTAGTCCGGCTTTAGCCAGTGAATGTTGTAAATCTGCTCTTCACCTCCAGCAAAATTACCCAGTCCACATGATCTGTGTTTTCAAATCTTAAATCTGCCTTAAGCGATGATTAAACTCCATTTCAACTCTGCTCTTGTATTTGCTAGTGAGTAATTTAGATTTTGTAACGTCAAGCTTCGAAACAATCAAGCACGCTTTTGATTTAGTACTATTTGAGATCTGTAGTCCAGCAGCACTGCTTGAACTTTGTTTCAACTGTGGCTTTTTTATTGTCATATCAAGGAGCGTTTTATTTGATACAGCACGTTGTCTGTAAGCACGTTTGTTTTATGCGTTTACCGTATTTGTCATCTTTTATCTTCATTATTGGATGGCAGTGTTGCGAAATTTAGAAATGTACAGTCCATAATGTCACTATTTCCCATTTACTCAGCATTAAGCCACTTTAACCATTTCTGCATTTCAAATTGTAAGATAATAGAATAAAAAAAGAATAGATGCTGCCATTTTTTCTTGTTTTGAGTGTGGCTATTCTTGAATGAATTTTTACTATGTTCAATATAGCACGGTTTTGGCAGTGGTCCTATTTCGCAGCGAGGAAAAAAAAAGCGAAGTCAAATGCTATCATAGTACCTATCATGCAGTCAAAACAACAGTTTAGCCCGAAATCATATCCAAATTGGATCAATTTAATGTTTTTTCACAAATTGTTAATTTTGGTCCTTGCGTGGGTACAGTCACATTTGTTATTTTACAAATTATTGACTACTCTTTAAGTATTGATAATGGCCCACGAAATATGCTGATTTTTATGGGCAGGCTTCCTGAACAGTGATGGTTTTCGGAAGATGCGAAGATTCCGCCCAACACCAGAGATACTGGCTTTTACTTCTCTTTGTCAGATTGAAACCCTGAATATTGTAGTACTGTGATATGTTAATTTGGCCCCGCGGTATAAATATTCTACCCCCTGTCTTGTATTTAGCAGTTAGTTGAAATCAGTCAACTGCATTATGCCATCTTAAGCATCTCTTTTAGTCTTTAAGATCAGCTCTCTCCTCCAACCCTTTTTTTCATGTTCCTCCCAGGAGGCTCCCCCCACAACTTAAGTTTCAGAGTCAAATTTTTTGTGACTGATCCCAGCAAACTTCAGGAGGAATACACTCGGTAAGACCTTTTATTGTTTTGTTCAGTTGTTATACAGACTAATGACATGGTTCCTTGGTTTATGGCCAAGTTAGATTCCGATGGCTCCGACATAACCTCTATTAAATAAACTCACCAAAGGAATCATCAATCTAATATATTTTTTTGGTCATATAAATGCTGATTGTTTTAATAATTTGTGGCGCTATAAGTCCTTGCTTCATGAATTTATACTAGGGGTGTAACGATATGTTTTTTGACCGATACACTATGTATCAATGTAAGTCCTAACAATTCCACACAAAGTAATATATTGCTTCTTTGGAACAATACAATTCGATATGATAAAGGTGATTTCGATACAATATTTTGATACGCTAACATAGCTTTTCTGTACATGTACAGACAAGAGCGAAGAATGAATGCAAGTTTATTTAAAAAACAAAAAAACATTCAAACTTGAATAGAAAAAATAAACGGCCATTGGAAATTTTGTGCATCAAATAATTTTGTTATTTATATTGATTAAATCATTCAATAACTTGTTTCCAGTGCCTATCGATGTAGTTCGATCGAGGCACAGACACATCAATACATCGATTAAATAGATATACCATTATGTCCCTACTCCATAGAAACTGATTTTATTCATCACAGCGAAGCAATCACATGAGATGGAGTGATATCACATCTGTGATTCAATCGTAGGCAGGAGGCTGTAGGTATTATCGTGGTAATGATAATGTGATGAAACCTCCTCGTGTCCTTCCTGTTGGGGCCATAATGATGTTCAATCAGTCATCTTGTGTCTTTTTCTCTTCAGGTACCAGTATTTTCTTCAGATCAAGCAGGACATATTAACTGGACGGTGAGTTTGATGGCTTTGTGCAGGCTGATCAGTATGCTTCTGGTAAAAGTGCACATTGTGTGTGGTTGCATGTTCTAAAGCTAATTTCGGAACATTGGTATCATGAGCTCATCGTTTTTCGTTGCATCTATTTCTCTGAATGTTCACACCAGAATGATTTTTCTCACATTTCAATATCACGTTGAGAGGAATCTCCCTTGTGTAAAAATAACTGTGATCTTCTTTGGATGGCTCCAAAACTAAATTCTGGCTGTGAACAGTAACACGAGTGAGTGTGTTTACGTGTACGCTTGGGTGCCTGTTCTCTTTCGTCCTCCAGATTGCCCTGTCCTCACAACACAGCTGCACTCTTGGCTTCCTATGCTGTTCAATGTAAGTAGTGCTCCCTGGATACATTCACTCTTCATTATGATTGAAATCCAATTCATTAAACCTCTCTTTATGTACACACAACATAATGGCTGTGGTTGGTCCAGTGCCCTTATGGCTGCTGCTCACAAGCCATTACTATTCAATTAAACTGCGGTCTGTTATTAATGGCACTGCACAGTTTTGAAATCCTCACTGATGCACATTTAACTCAGTGGCCATGAGAGGGAGGACTGGCATTCACAGTCTGCTTATTATGTAATGAAATTGTGCATTTTTTTTTTTTTTTTAATCTGACTCTGCTTCAGTCAAAGTAGCAGTATGCAAGTAGTGTAATTTTTGGTCTTCACCGAAGCTGCTTCGCTGTCCAACCGCGATGTAGTACATATTTCACAAAATAGTTCAAAGTATTAGGGATGGAGGACTACCTACTTATCCTTGTAGTGACGCTTTGTTTTTAAATTTTGCAATTAAGGACCCTGTTTGTTTTATGGCCATTACTAACAATTTTGCTCTTATATTTGAGTCTTACCTTGCATTTTATTGAGCAACTTTATTTGGCTTCCAGGCAGACACCACTCTAAAGATACGATAAGCTTTCCCACTTTTTTTTTCTCAAATAAATTAACTGCAAAAGGAAAATTTCTTTCCATGCTGACCGCAAAATGTATGCGCTTGCTGACAAGGTGGACAATGACAGTGTGGACATTTTTGGCTAATGTTACAATGTTATGAGCACACAGCGGTACCTTCATTTTGCAACACAATTCAGATACTAAGCCGACTTTGCCCTGTTTAACAAATACATTTGGAATTTTTGAAAGGTTTTTATATCAATTAGAATTTCACTATGACAGCGTGGACACATATGTAGGACTGGTTTCATGCTAAATGTTCAGTATGATCTTAAAATAGAATGCATCATGATACTGGTATGCATGCAAAATGTTTGAATGTTTGACCATAGTTACACCTCAGTTTCATTATTCTTACAATTTCATAATGACTGATTGATTCTGATGAGGACGCCAAAGGCTCTTGATTGTGATATTTACCGATTTTCTATACACTTTTTTTTTTTTTCAAAGCCAGCTACACTAATTTGTCAATCTCGCCTTATGCTTGGAAAGTACATAAAGATTTCATTCTACAGTCATTAATCCGGCAGATACATGTATAATTAGATATTCTAGAAAAATATGTATGTAAGTATTGACACCTGCATTTACAAACATTCACAGTAGACATGTCGGTCTATTGAGTAATAATCTCAGATCAATCCTTATACTGTATACTACTTGCTTTTCTGTGGGCTGGTACAGATTGACATCTGTACACACACACATGAAACTGGATTCAGGCAGATATGCTTATCCATTAGATTCGTAATTAATGACACATTCATTTTGCTTGATCACCCAACATCTGCAAATGAAAAACTAAAGATTGCAATTTATACATATTTTCTCTTGTCTCTTTTTATTTGGCAATATACTTTGTCAGGTGAAAGCAAGATTTCATCCCCCGTTTATTGAGCAGCACCTATCACAGGGAGCCTTAATTGTACTTCACCGCAGCATGTTTATCAGCCAGCTGTTTGTGATGCGTTGTAGCACAGGAAACTACCAGAGTCATCTGTTTGTGGCTCATAGCCCCCTTACCCCCTCCCCACATGCTCTGATTTTGTGGGCTTTCACATTATATAGGTCAGAAAGGAGATTTGGCCAACTGCGCAGACATCGTGACACTACCGCTTTTTACACGGAACAACCCAAACACACTCCGTGGCTCAATTCTCACTTCACTCTGTGCCTGCCAGATTATGCAGATAAATGTTTGCCTTGGGAAGAAAAGGGCTGGAAGCAGCTGCATATGCTGCTAATTCAGCACGCTCAGTCCATGTGCCAGTACTGATCAAGCTAAATCCCGCATTAAAGCCTCATTCTCATACGCTTGTTTACAATTTACAAAATGGTATCACAAATCCTGCGCATACCGTTAAAGCGGGGCATACTTGTTTTCATATTCAAAATCAGTAGCATGAGTTTCGGACTACTGTGTAATGTCATGTCAGCATATCCTTTGAATTTCTATTGTCAATTGATATTTCACCATGATGAAGTGTAAATCTCGACAACACCCAACTACACACGTAATATGATGAATATTACTTTTACACTGTAAATGCTGGGTTCATTCCGTAGCTATATTATTTAACCGGAATAATTTAGCTCTAAAACTGGATAAATACAATGTGTACATCCAGTACGTAAGGCATTACGTGCTTGTAAAAGACGTTTGCAATATTTTGCTTTTTATCTTATTTTGCTACACAAAGAGCATGGTCTCATTAGATTGGGTGCACCAAATGAAGCATTGGCGGCATGATTTTTGACAATAAAGGGGGAGTCAAAACATTGTCAGGATTTGTGTCAAAGGTGAATCGGGCACTAAATTACCATCAGCGCATATAAATCCATCATCCGAAATGGAGAGCTTAACAGCTTGTTTACGCTTTGCTGCTCATTATTGAAAGCCTGAGCTGATGCTGGCTGAACTGAACCGTGTTGAAGTAATAAGTGCAACCAACACTGTTCCAAGACTTCAGTGATCGACTGTACATGGATTTCTCCCTGGAGTTATATGCACATCAATAAGCGGGAGGGCTGGAATGGATTTATTTGTCAATATGCTTAAACTGCAGATGTGTAGGTTAGTCCAGGGACTACTTGAGCGAATTGATGCTTTTCAACTTCAAGTGTGAGCTATCGAGCTAATGGCTTTGGGAATTTGATCCGCGCCACCTTCCTCCGATGGCTATGAAAGAGAGAAAAGAAGGAGCAATTTCCCCCCTGACATTTCTCTTCCTGAAAAAATGAACACTTGGGTTCTTTATATTAAAACTTTCATCGAAATCAAACAGTTAACATTGCTTTGTTTTTGGATAATAGTAATTCAAAGACATTCACGATTGAACCTGCAGTCATTGTGCAGTCAGTATTATTACTATGTATAGCTCAGTTAAAATTACACATGCAGGACCAAAAAAAAAGTGTCAACTGTTTTTGCCAAGTAAGATATGGTTTATTTTATGCCTGTATGTGATTAATTTATTATTTCCGGGCCACTTATTTTGGGAGGTCTTTTTCCAGGTTCATAATTGTCACTCGAACCATGCAGAGTAGAGCAGAATATATTAAAAAAATGTATATAACACTTCCAGTTAAATACAAGACTAATGCATCTGACATTATTATTGTTGGCCAAAGGAAAATAAATACAAAATACGCAAATTTCCGCTGAGAAATTGACATTGGATCCATGTTGCCCTCTGTGTTGTAGCTGAATTGGGGGACTACAATGAGACTGAGCATCCTCTGGGCTATCTGTCCGAGTATTGTTTCATCCCCAACCCACCTCAAGATTTCCATAAGGAGGTCGCCAAACATCACCATCAACACAGGTAAATGCAGAGGCGAGCAGTGGAAATTTGATTTGATTTTAGTCCTTGAAAATTCATCGTCGGATCAAGTGTTGTAATACACCTTTTCTTCTCCTTTCCTCATATTACAGTGTGTTATTCAATCTACAAGGCTATTTGTTACATTGTATTCATGAATTCTGCCATCAATTTGTGAACTACTTATGTGCACACACGTCCACAGATGCTCTCGCTGGGCTAGCTCATGTTATACCACTGCTTTATGTGACGTTCCCCCAGCTACTTTTTTTGTTTTGTTTCCCTCTGGCTCTTCCTTTCCTTCACCATATGTCTTGTTCGTTAACACACCCACACACACACTTATCCTTCCTACAATGTCACCACGCCTCTCCCCTTGCTCCACCATCACTGATCCTTGCCTGTATTTTTACTCGACTCTTTGCCTCCCCCTTCTCTCTCCCAGTGGTCTGTCTCCTGCCCAGTCGGAGTTTAATTATCTGAACACAGCACGCACGCTAGAGCTCTACGGGGTAGAGCTGCACTATGCAAGAGTAAGTAAAGTTTGATCTACTAATGCCTGTGTGTGTGCTTGTTTTTCTGTTTATCTAGGTCCCACCCCCTTAGCAAATGGCATATGGCCTGTGAGACAGTATGTCTGCACCTCATGCTCCGTTTCTTCATAAAGATCAGAGCAAGATAACTTTGCCTGCATGCTCTTGTGGTAATTTAGGTCTCAGTCTACTGGTTCGAGCAACATTACATATAACACGCCAATTGCTGTAACAGCTGAGTAGTCAAGTGTCCAAGCAAAACTCAGGTTGGTGTTGCTGTTGGGATAGTCACGCAATACAGAATGTATTAACTCATTCACTGCCCTGGATGTTTATATTCAAGAGTCAACTTGAATCCAACCCCTTTAACTCTTCCATCCATCTTATCTGTGAAGTTGAGATTTGTAAACCACTGTCATGACTAACAGATTCTTATAAATGGTGACCGTGCATTACTTTAGATTTGAGATCAGCACAAGTTTTGAGTAGAAGAGAAAGACCAGAGGGTGAATCTCAATGAGGGAAAGAAATGCCAACACGTTGGAAGTTGGATAAGTCTAGGCCCCTCAGACTTAAACAGAGTTCCTAAATGTATGCCATAAACGTGACTATACATGTAACTGAATGTAACAAAATGTAATGTAAAATAAATAACTACTCCTTCATACAAGATATCCTTTATTTGTCCCACACTGGGGACATTTACTGAATGTTAAATACTGTAACTCTTACCTTATTATTTATTGAAGTTATTAATATCTATTTGCATAGATGTAAACAAAAATGTTTGCTTTTTTTCCTATTGTATCATAAATCTTTTTAATTTGTCAGGTTAAGAAATTCACATTACTCCATACATGAATGATCCAAGTGAATAGATAAAAATCATCGAACACCAGTTGTGACATTAACTTGAATGTGTTCAAAACATTTTATGTCACAGTTGAGAGGAACAGAATAACGATACAACCAACAATTGTGAGCTCCTTGGAACATGAGACAGACGGAATATTTTACAAAAACAAGTGGCTGCATACTGCATGTGTATGTTTTTGGGACGTACCTGTTCACAGACCTTCAGTATGCACTGCTGAAAAAGACTGAGGGTGTCGTGCAATCCCTTCAGCCACAATGCATTTAGTTTTCACTGCCTCATTGTTTTCAGTTGTGGCTTTTGTGAACACGTTCTGCTGCAATCGCAGGTTGCCTTTTAATTTGTAGACCATTGGTTGGTTTTCTTGAAGGCTTATTTTGGCTTAGTGTTTGGTGTCAAAATGCCAATGTCGATTGTACTCTGACAACTAATACTGCCTCATAACACAACAGCATACCTTTTATTTTTCTCTTTGAAGCACAAACATGTATGTTTCATCGTTCTTGAAACTGTCTTCCATCTGTATCCATTTTAGTCTTGTTGGACATTTTGCGATCATTGTTTGCATTTCTCAGTTCCACTTGTTTGGAAAATCGCATTGATGTGAATACCTACACTGCAATCTCGTGGTGGCATGTTGTCACTTTGCAGGTATCAATTACCACGCATTGTGTGAGATGTAGTTTTTTGTCAAAGCATGCTTGAGACTTACTTATTTGAAGACACTCAGGCCTTTTAAGCATTCACAGGCCACATTCAGTGACATGGCAGGGCAAATGTGGTCCTCAGGCCTTGAGTTTGACACCTGGCTTACAGTATCACAGGACACTTGTCACAAGAAGGCATGCTCATTTATCACCATGTTTTTGTTTTACGATTATCACAATTAGTGTTTTTCATCCGCTCCGTTGTACATTGAGGAGTTTGTGCCTTGCGCTCGGCAGGCAACCAGTCCAACTTGTACCATGTCTCTCGTCCAAAGTCAGCTGGGGTAGCCTCCAGCTCATCACCAACCCTGACGATGATGAGCACTGTAGTGAAAGGAGGGATGAATGGATGGATTCTGACTTAGACAAGTAATACTGCTCTATCCTTGGACTTATTGTTTAGCTATGCAGCTGAACAGTGGTTGACTACAAGGATAAAATACTTTGTATCAAATGGAGGATCAGGACACAGCCTTTAAATTGTGGATAAGTTGTTCAGTGGGAAGATAAAACAAGCCTCCATTTAGTTGTCAAAGAAGAGGCGATACTTGTCGGAGTAGCTTTCTCAGGGTTCCTAAACCTGAACCCACTCAAGGTATCCGGCTGTTTTCTCTCACAAGCATCTGCTCTTGTTTTGAGTCAGGTGTACACACAGAGGCGCCTCTGTTTCCACCACTGCATTGGTTGCTTTGAAACACTGCCCAAGAATGTCTCAAAAATGTATTTTCCTCCCATCCACAGTCCTTCTCCGTATTTGTCTTTTCTTACGCTCAGTTCTTGTGCCTCAAAATACAAATTCTGTTTTCCCTTTTTTTCAGGATCAGAGTAACACAGAAATACTCATTGGGGTGATGTCTGCTGGCGTTGTCATTTATAAGAACAGGGTACGGATCAACTATTTCCCATGGTAAGTGACAAAAGCGCACGTACACACGTGCAAACACACACAATTTGCTTACCTAGGCAGCAACATTCTTTCTTCTGGTGACATCTGTGCTGAGCGTGGGGAGTAACTGTGTGACTGTTTGGCATGCCACATGTTCATATCCACAGATGATGGTCCAAGTCAAATTAAGTTAGAATCGTATAGATACCAAACATTCACTCAGCATCGGTCTTGGACAGAAATTGCACTTTTTTGTCATCAAGTTCCTTTGGAAAATCCCGAGGTATAGATCATATTGGAAAGCAGCTTCTCAAAGAGGCCCAAATGGGGCATGATAATTAATTATTTTGTGTATGGTGATACAGTATAGGAAGTTGGGATATACCAAGGTGCAGGTTGTTATGAGCGTAGATATCCTGGAGAGATTTTGTTACCTTGGCAGTGACATTCATTCTTCTAGTGATCATGAAGTACTGGTAAGCAGACATCTGGGCTGGGCACGGGAGGAATAAAATCGCGAAACCGGATGGTTTGGCATTCCATATATTTTTATCCACGGCCGTAGTTCCAAGTCTTTAGAATTGTGTTCCTCCCACTATTGCTTTAAGAATGTGATATCAAGTCTCTGAGAAAAATCCTCTGGTGTATATATATACAGTATGGGACGACAGCTTCTCACAAACCCACACGGGGCATGAACTTGAATAATTTGTGAATGTCAGCAAAGCCACGACGGACACACACTTTCCAGTGGCCAGCCAGTCTTGCTTGTCTGTGTCTGAGCCTCTCCGTTTATGACCCCGAGGACACCCGGGGAACACTTGGATGAGACACATTTGACCGGGGGCTGTAGCAACCAGTGTGTTAGCTGCACTGTGAGTCACTTACGGTGTAATGGTTCAATTGCTTGACCGTCATGGCAGAATGAACGTGATTCCCTCAGTGACGGTATGAATATGAGTATGAAATGTTGTCCGTCTCTATTTGTTGCCCTGCGATTGAGGGGCAGCCTGTCTTATGGGTAGTCTGCCTTTTCCCGACTGTCAAGTGGGGTAGACGCACTCAACAGAATAAATAAGTGCAATAGAAAAAGGATGGATGGGTGGTCACCAGGCAGGATTCCTTGATTGACACTTGTGCATGCTCCCGAACCTTACCTGGCCTAACCTGTTGGGACTATGGCACTAGTTGTTGGTAGACGAGGCAAGTAGATGTAGAACGTTGCAAGTGGTAAGTGTTGTTTATAACAGAAGCTCCCTTATTTAGTGTGATAACTGCTCATATTCTTGCTTGATACACAGGAGAATTATGAACTGACGTCACAGCTGAAAGACATTCAAGCACGATGGCTACGTGACTCAATGTGAAGCGTGATCAGCTAGCCAACAGTTTCAATTACACTTTCTGGGTTCCTCCCTAGCAAGGATAGTGGCTCTGCTCTGTTGTACTCTGTGGCCAAGAGCAGAGAACCTGCCAACTCCAGAAGCGTGTGGATAAGGATCAGTACTTTGTTTGAAAAATCAAATTCCTTTGATTTATTCACACTGGGCACTCCTTATTGCCCAAGACCATTCCTGGCAACTCCTCCAGACCCTTTCACTCTTTTGTCTTTGCAATGTAGGCTTTGTTTTAACGAGAAAAAAAAAGAATCATTTACCCCCCAGACAAAAATCTGCTAATTTGGGGAATCAAACGGTAGATAACTCCACCTGAACTGCCTCCAAGAATCCTTGTTGCTAACAAATGTACTGTGGGATATTTTGATGACCTCTCACATAGTAGTTGAAGTGGCCGTCAGCATTTAACTCACCTTTAGCCCCTATTGCCCCCCCCCTCGAATTATGTTGCTGATTTTATCTGAGTTTCATCTTTGTGTGTTGTACCAAATTTCTTAGAAATATTGAAACATCTCACTACCCTTCTCACTGTGTTCCATGTAGTATGTGTGTGCAGTTTCATAGCAAGTGACAAAAGCACAATCCGTCTACATTTAGAGTCCCTTTAGCGGTTTCTCCAACAGCTGCCCTTTAGCAGAGAAATTAGTCTCTCATTTCCATTGCATTTTTTGTTTTTTATTTTACCTCAATTGTGTTACAGAAGTTAGGGCTCCGTCGTTTGCCATGATCTTATCATTTCCTTTCCTCTTTGACAGATTGTTCAATTTCCTTATTCTGAATTGTATTAAAAAATTGGTTCAAAGATTGAGTCAGAAATTCAGAACTCTTTCAGTTTTTTACAATTTCTCTTTGCGAAAAGCCAAAGGCACACTTAGATGGGCATGACTCATGCTCAACCTCGGCATGTGTGTGTGCTTCTGCGTGTGCATGTGTGTGCATGTGATATATATTTAGCAGGGGGTGGTGAGTCAGAGTAGCAGCAGAGCTCTAGGAAGGAATTATGTTACTCTGCTGCTTATCAGCGCACCTCCCATAGTGTGCACTCATCTGATTTGAACATAAGGTTATAACACATACATATTAATGTCACTGCATTGGGTTAATGTAATTATTCCTATTTTTACAAAGGCACCAAGTTAGCAAGAAGTTTCTATTTGTAGTCTTGCTTCTTCTGAGAATGTCTTCTACTGGAAAGTAAAATTGGTACTGCGCGAAATCCTGAACTGAATTGAAAGTCAAAGTGAATTATGAATTGTAAATTGAATTGAATCGGGCCCAAGTGGATCGAATCAAATCAAATTTGGAAAACAGTAGAATACGACGCTGGGCATCAGCTGTCCTCATTACAAGCTTCGTTGACACCAAGCTATCATATCCTGTTGTACAGTCAAACCAACACAATAACATCCCAAAATTATGTTTACTCGCCCATTCAGTATGCAAAAATCATTAAATTACCACCATAAATAATTGTTTGGTGGACCACCTCCTCTGAGGCGCTGCAATGGAGATTTTCCACATCGACTAACTGAGCCAGGTTCCTGTCGCGCTTTTTTTATTTGAATGGCCTTTCACACTATTCTAACATTGTATAGAATCACATTATGTGTTAAATGTTGCCCACTCGACATCCATTGCAACCTGGTCATCCTGGAAGGGGGATTTCCCCATCGACTGGCTCCCTCTCAAGCAGTGGTTCTTACCCTGGGTTCGATCGAACCCTAGGGGTTCGGTGAATCAGTCTCAACTGCGTTTACTTTTTTCTGTTTTTAATGTTTTTTTTATGTCTTGAATTTGTAAAAATTCATATTTTAATTTTTCATTAATGAAGGGGTCGCTGAATGTGCTTATGAACTAGTTGGGTTCGCCACCTCTAACAAGGTTAAGGACCACTGCTCGCAAGGTTTATTTTCCCCCAGATGTTTTTTTGTTGTTGGTGTTTTTTTTTTTTTTTTTTTTTCTTGTGTATTCAGATGGGGCGGATGTCATATTAATATCGGTCAACTGTGGGCTTGTGAAGCCCTTTGAGATGCTTGTGTGATAGAAGGAGCCGGCTTACCACTAGAGGTACTAGTGCCACGCTTTGAGAATCACTGGGTTAAGCTGTTAAAATTGCATTGCCTTTGCAAGGTGTTCTCTGTCTGATATGTATCAGACTGTAAAATAGATTGCCGAACTTTCCTTGGTAGACTACTAAGTGGTCTATGCCCCACCTACTGTCTCTCATCTCTCATAGACCTTGAATGTGCAACTGGAACGAACTGATGGCAATCCACACTACAGTATGATTCAGACAGACAGTAGGACAAAAGGTCATTCAGCCATTGTGGCTTACAATGGAAGTTCTTATTTCTCTGCGGGATCTGTGCCCACTGTCATGCCCATTGGGGTCTCAGTCAGAACATTTAGCTTTTTTTGCCCCCTCCACCCATCCTGCATTTTGCTTTGAAAAAACAATCAGCTCGTGACTGTCTTATTTTAAGCGCTGTGAAACCTGATGTGGCGTGCCGTGTTGCACTGATCCAAATCTGCCACACTACTTAAATGCTTCTTCCTTGGCCCATGCTCCATTTTTTTTCTGGGTAATCCCGCCCACAAATAAACAGTTCTTTTTGTATTTTAGTATGACCGACCTTAAAATAACAAATTCCAATAGAAGCGTTTTCTTTTTACACTCGACAACAGAGACACTAAACGCTTGTCATTTCTTTCCTCCAGGTTGAAAATAGTGAAAATATCCTTCAAGTGCAAGCAGTTCTTCATCCAGTTGAGGAGAGAGGCGGTAAGTGTTTAGAAACACGACACACAAAAATTGTTTCATTGCTGATTTTGAATGTGGAATACAGGCTTCGGCCACCTTCTGGTATGGAACAGTATTGCATTGTACGTCATGAACGTTCGTCAACTTATGCTGCAGAGTAGTTTTGGAGAAAAACAATTACAGATTGTACTTGTTCTTTGCAATCTGCGTAAAGTTCTCCAATGTTAACAAGTTACAGGTTGTCATAGCAACCTTGCTATGATTGTCTCACTATCAGAATTAATCTGCATTGTGCTATCTGTAAGCCACGTAGCCGTTTTATTCAAATTGTGACAAGTTTTCGCATGCCTCAATTCATGACTGTTGGAAACAGCCATTAATATGGTAACCACATGCAAATGCAATTGCATAATATGATCAGTGATTATTAGGATTCCCTCATAGAACATCTTAGGTAGGGGTCAAGAAGTGTGACTACTTTTTGATCTAGCCACACATCTAGTCTGTAAACCAACATAATCTGTTATATACATAAGTACTATTATTATTATTATTACATTGTGCAGTTCAAGTGTAACTTCCAGCTGCTTTTTAACAATCTCCCGTGGGTTTTCAGATGCAAGTAAAAGTAATAACAAAGGCCACAGATGTTTTTTAATAGTTTTATATTTCTGACTGTTCAAACCGTTGCTATACATTTGTCTGCAATCTTTAAGATGACAACTTTTTTCACTTTTTTTCATGAACTCAATTCGTTTTTAGACAAAACATAAGCACTTTATTTTGCCTTTTGTTCCCTTAATCTACTCAATGTCAACAGAAACCATGTACTTAAAACCAGCGTATTTGATTTGTAATGCACCTTTATCACCGCAGCGATTAAACATTTATGTGTTTTCACCATTCTAAGCCGCCCTCCGAGGGCAACAATTACTCTGATGTGGCCTGGATGAAAACAAGTTTGACACAAGTTTGAGCGGTTTCTTTTAGCTCTTAGATTCTCTGTGACATCTAAGTAATATGTCACATACTTCCCATTGGGTCATTGTCTTTCCAACACAGTATATTTCTTTTACCTTGAGAAACTGACATTTTTCTTGTGCCAGAGACATTAACGTCCTGTGTATCTGTTATGAAATGGTAACACTTTGTCTCTTTGTAATAGGACAAATAGTGGACATGGTCCTCTGTGTGAGTCAGCATCCAATATACATGTTATTCTTATGACTGTCTCCATCTTTTCCTTCCACTTAGACCGAGACCCGAGAGACGCTACTTGGTTTCAACATGGTGAACTACCGGGCCTGTAAGAACCTGTGGAAGGCCTGTGTGGAGCACCACACCTTCTTCCGCCTTGAACGACCCATCCCGCTACAGAAGAATTTCTTTTCCCATTACTTCACCCTGGGCTCAAAGTTTCGTTACTGGTATGAAGAAGCGTGAGGCATTCAACCCACGAATAGTCCCAAGCGTGTTGACTTCACAGCGGGGTTTTGACAAATGGAGGTGTACATGTATTATTTGAGAGACACATAGTTGTTTCACTTCATTTTTATGGACGAAAACACGAGATGGCTCATGGGCACCTTGCAAGCTACCTTCCCCCAAAATATCTGTGCTAAATTATTTATGGTTAACCCGAAAATAGATTTTCAACCTGCAGAACATGTTTGGTTTGATATTTTGTCTATAACATTCCATTTGAAATAATAACTGGTAAATACATTTTTATGAAGACGTATACCACTGTACCTTAGTAGCATAATTTAATAAAAGACTTCAAGGCTATCAAATACCCAGATTTTTTTCAGGTTCTTTTAGTTTGATGGCATTCTATTGTTTGTTATTGTTCCACGTAGCGGAAGAACGGAGGTGCAATCTGTACAATACGGCAAGGAGAAATGCATCAAGGACAGAGTGTTTGCGAGGTAGTTACCCTGTCTTCCAAGTTTTGCCAATTCAAAGTCCACACGGTAGCTGTTCTATTTTTGTTCTTAGTTAAAGTTTATTTGCAGCTGAATTTCTTGCTTGCTCTGTGCAGATCTCCTAGCAAACCTCTGGCCAGGAAGTTGTTGGGGGGAACTGACTGGGAGACGGTGAGCAGGAACAGCCTATCAGATGAAAGACTGGAGACCCAGAGCCTGCCAACTCGCTCGCCACCTGGGACGCCTAATCAGTGCGCACACATTTTAGCCTTTATTTGAAACACCCATAATATGTATTTTGTTGTTGATGGTTAATGTATGTTTTAAAATGAATATTTGGGTGCATCCCAAAACAGAAAGGCATGGAATAGTTCACTTATGTCAGGAGATCTTTAAAAGGTGAAACTCATTTGACTGTATATAGAGTCAATGAACACATAGGGAAGTAATTTTGTATTTTTTGTATATTTGTAATATGTACTCAATTTCTAACCCTTTTTTTTTTAATTGAAACATTTCATTAACGATGATTTTCCCTTTTTTAATTGAAGTTATTAAAATGTGAGTTCTCTTCCCTATTTTTCTTTTTTTAAGATGCACCTCTGAGTAGCTAATGAATTCCAAGTCAATGCAAAAAGTATATTTCAGTTGAAAATGTTTCAAAGTTTTTTCCACTGCACACACTCAGTCCGTTGCTATTCTAATGAATATGCTTATTTTATAATCAAAATTAGAAAAGATGTCGTACTCATTTGTCTACATTGTGAACACTCCACAATGGTAATGAATTTTTGGGCACAAAGACGGCCTTCACGTTGGAGTCTCAAAATCTTTGTGTTTGTGTGTGTTTCTTAGAAATTCCCTGTTCACGCAAGAGGGCACGCGGCTACGCCCTTCGTCTGTCGGCCACCTGGTTGATCATGTGATACACACGTCGCCAAGCTTGCCCGTCTTCTCTTCGAATCATAAGTCGGCCTCCTCCACGCAGGCCAACAGTATAAGCTTGGACTCCACGCCGTAAGTGTCCTACCGTCCTGCAAAAGTTAGGCCACTATTAAAGCTTTTTTCCCCACCTTTTGACGCACATTCCCTCACTAACTTGGATTTAGCAGCAATGCAACAGATTTCAGTTCTGTCTTCCATATAAAAATAGCGGCCCCTGTAATTTTGTGGTTGAATTCTACTCATCTTTTGTTAGTGCCACTCTGTCTGACTGCTCTGCTGAGTTGACTTTCATTTTTTTTTTTTTTTTTTTTTTTTTTGGGGTCCGCTTGTATCTGTGGCCTCTCCCAGCAGTTCACACCCTCTTTGAGTGACACTTAGTTGAAACCTTTGGAAAGACAAACCCTTTGTAAAAACACTCATAAAATGTGCCTATAGTGAGTGAGGAGGGCGGAGTGGGTTGAATAAAAGCGACAGTAGTGCGAATCGGCAGGTGTTTTCGGCATGTTTTATTGTCTTTAACCAATATAAACTGCCTAGTAAATTATTTAACTGGTCTGCAAAACCTTTTCATAGGAGCGGCAACATTATTGACAGTGTTCAATATGCCCATGGTTGCATTTCTGGAGTCCGCTTTCTGCTTAATATCCTACTTGACTAATGACTACACATTAAAAACTGCATAAACACGAGTTCCAACAATTTCTGAACCACTGGTGAAAGGACTTAGATTTATTCCTTTTTTATCTATAACCACTTTTAGCAACTAGGCGTATGTAGGAATAGTTGTTACGATTGTATTATTGTTGATGTTTTTTGTTATGTGTTCTGTTAAAGCTCAGCTGTTGTGAAAGGGCGATGGTATTTTATTGATGTATTATCAACTGTTTTTTTTCTCTTCCTCTTTGCACAAAGCAGCAAATATTTACTGTACTGCGGATATATTCTGTTGCCTTCAAAGCAATGCACGCACACACACGCGGTTGCCAAATAGTTGTGTCATTCGTTTGTTTTTGAGCCAAAATGATGACACAATCACCAGGCAGCACACATTATCTGTGGTTATCTTTCATTCTTGGCTGGTACGCATTTGCTCTTTTATCACGACTGTAATACATTTGAGTACAATTTATTTATTTATTCATTCATTCATTCGCTGAAGCTTCGGAAAGCTTTTGTGAAAACAAGTTGGCTTTGATGAATGCCACCATTTTTAATAATGTCCCTTATTATTCTTGGCCTGTCGCCTGCTCATTTTACTTGGCTGAAAGAGTAAAAGGCAGTTTTTCATATGGATTAGGACTTCATAGGTCTCTGTAGCTCTTATACTTGACTCTAAAGGTTTGGATGTAATTGTATCAATCTGCTGCCAGAAGTATAGCTACGTGTGTGTGTGTGTGTGTGTGTGTGTGTGTGTGTGTGTGTGTGTGTGTGTGTGTGTGTGTGTGTGTGCGTGTGCGTGCGTGCGTGTGTGCGTGTGCGTGCACGCGTGTGTGCATGTGTGTGTGTGAGAAAGACAAGTGGCACCCGTAACACCAGTCAAAACAAAGGCAATAATGTTTGACTGCTGCGCCCATCCCTAAGGAAGATCATGCCCCACACACACACACACACACACACACACACACACACCACAGTGTGCGATGCCTGGCTTTTACCCATGCCATGTTGCTGTTGGAAGCATTACCTGATGAACCTTCTGCATTCACGTCTGTCATTGTCACAGTGATGTCCTCTGGGATGTTTTCTTTCCCCTTGAAAGCACATTTCATTGAAATAAATTCATTGTGACATAGACAATGCTATCAGCCCTCTCTGACTCTTGGGACCTTTTTCCTCTCACTTGATCTTTTCTTGTTTTACTTTTTGTATCTGTTTTTAATTTAATGCTTGCTTCACTTTGTACAGGAGTAGTAGAATTTGAATATACTATATCCACAGAATAAAGTGTGATTCTCTCTTTTCACAGTTCTCCTGACGGGGTGGACAGCCAACCTCCGGCTCTGCCCCCAAAGCAGTTGAGCAGGAAAACCTTGAGCCAGATTATCCAGGCCCACTCGCAGCAGAGCCTCTTGGACAACCACCTCAACGAGATGTACGATGTTCCCGCCAACACTGACAAGACCACGGTCAGTCAAGGGACTGGATGATACAAAACACACACGTTAGTTAATTGAAAGCACTAAATTGCCCCGAAGGGGAGAATGTGAATCTGAATGGCTGTCTGTCTCTGTTTGCTCTGTGATTGACTGGCAACCAGTCCAGAGCACCCTGCACTTTCATTTCGTAGTTTTGAATGTATGTCATTGCACGTTGTCCACACTTGTCATTGTCAACTGTCTATAAATATAGAAACCCTTCAGAAATGTGATATTATCTATTTGCTAAACAGTACCCAGTCAGCTTGCTAACTCAATCATACTAAATTAAGCTTCATGTGTTCATAAAATGCTAACACCAGCCAAAAATGTCCACCCTGTTAGCAAGTTTACATATTTGCTTTCTTCCTTAAAATCGTCCGCTTGCACTTAATTTATTTTTTTAAGTAGCAAGGGGGTTTGGAAGCTTGACCATTAAGCATTTCTCAAAGGCATCCTATTGTGATATTGGCTCCACAGTTTACGTTTAATGAGCCTATTAATCATGAATGATATCTGACTGGAGATGGTCAGCAGAGACAAAATGTTCCTTTTCTCAGCACTCTGTAATTGTACTCAGTTGTCAGAAAACAGAAGATAAATTAGGTTTAATGCATTTTTTACTTGTTCCTTCAGCTAAATGGAGTTGTCCCTCATGATAATCTGGTCTTGATCAAGATGAGACCTGATGAACATGGACGTTTTGGCTTCAATGTTAAGGTAAAAAAAAGAAAATTCTCAATGGGACATTTTATTTACTGTCCTATGCTTTTGTATTGGTTCATTGTCTTGAATTCTTTGCATGGCAGAGTTCTATTTTCACAGTATTTTTAGAATTGCAAGAGTGATTTCAGAAGTTTACCAAATTTCCCTGAGCGTCTGTGTGTGTGTGCCTCCAGGGTGGAGCTGACCAGAAGATGCCAATCATAGTGTCCAGAGTTGCTCCTGGAACATCAGTAAGTGAACATCCATTGCTTTGTAGTTATACAGTCAGGACCTTGTTTCAGCATATGGTAACGCAAAATGTATCTCCGCAAAGCTGCCATTTGACTCTTTTGATCTTGTTGGTGCTTCAGGCCGACCTATGTGTGCCCCGGCTGAATGAGGGTGACCAGGTAGTCTTGATTAATGGACGGGACATCTCGGACCACACCCATGACCAGGTTGTCATGTTCATCAAGGCTAGTTGTGAGAGCCACTCTGGAGAGCTCATCCTACTGGTCCGGCCAAATGGTAAGATGTTGATGTTGTCGATCTCACAGCGGGTAAATTCACTGGTGACAGCAGCCAAAGACTGTCAAGCAGATTTAAAAGCCAGTTAGTAAGAAGGGGGACGGGAAAGTGTATTCCAACTACAGAGGGATCACACTCCTCAGCCTCCCTGGTAAGGTCTATTCAGGGGTGATGGAGAGCATGGTTCGTCGGGAAGTCGAGTCTCAGATTCAGGAGGAGCAGTGTGGTTTTCATCCCGGCTGTGGAACAGTAGACTAGCTCTACACCCTCGGCAGGGTCCTCGAGGGTGCATGGAAGTTCATCCAACCAGTCTGCATGTGCTTTGTTAACTTGGGGCAGGCGTTCGACCGCGTCCCTCCGGGAGTTCTGTGGAGGGTGCTTTGGGAGTTTTGGGTACCGAACCCACTGATACAGGCTGTTCAGTCCCTAAACCACCGATGTCAGACTTTGGTTTGCATTGGCGCCAGTAAGTAAGTAAGTAAGTAAGTAAGATCCCCCGGGAAGCGCTGGAAGAAGTAGCTGGAGAGAGGGAAATCTGGGCTTCCCTGCTAAAGCTATTGCCCCTGCAACCCCACCCCACATAAGCGTTTGGGAATGGATGGATGGATGGGTGCATGGATGGATGGATGGAGTTAGTAATTCAATTCCTTTATTTAAAAAAAAAAATCCAGAGCAGTTTTCAAAAAACGTTTAAAATGAGTACAATGGCCAGGTAACGTGCAGAAACGTCAATATTAATTGCACTTAAACGGACGATGGGAAGTTTATCCTGCACTTCAAACAGTATCTAGTTTTCAATCTAACAATAAATTTCAGCCAGTAGTTGTAAAGAAATGATGCTCGTCAACATCCTGATTACTTTCAAGGTGCCCTCAAGCAAGACGAGCATGTGATGTGCGTGCAAGCACAAAATAGTTAAAGGGGCAATATCCATATTCAACATTTATCCGGCATGACGTGTATAACAGTTTCAAAGATAAATGCATTGACTTCATCATTACCTGTAATACCATAATATTGGTTTGATATTTGGTTTAATTTTAAATGATGAAATGCTTCCCTTAATACATAACCAGATGACAAAGAAGCTAATGGAAATAAACGCAAATTCATCTGGTTTCTGGGTTTGAATGTTCATAATTATGCATGTTTCATACATTTGTTTTCAGATACATTTGTTGTCATACACTGACATCTAAGCTATTTGTATTCACCTCATCAAAGAGTTCCTCCACCACCTTCAGGGAGTGTTTGAAGATGATGAATCATTGGAATGCTTGGCGTTAAGTGGGCCAAATGGGGATTTACATCCAGTCATACATCAAAGCCGATACATATCATTTAATTTATTCTGCTGCTGTGTCATTTTAAATATCGTCATTACCTTGGTAACGACATCATCTTGTCTGTCGATGTACGGACAGGAGTGGTCAGATGTTTACACTTACTTTTGGTGATGAATATAATAATTTTGGAATGTTAATTTTTAGCTGGTTTCTTCCATGAATTACACATTGTGCATCTGCAAAGAATTGAGTGCACAAGTTAGACTTTCAGGTACGATTTTTTTTTCCAACACACAGAATCAAAATTATACAAACAGAAATATTTACCGGTACTTGAATCTTTTAGTAAGAGGTGCGCAGGAACGCATGCAGCTTTGTCTTTGCCACCTTGACAAGCATTTTCATGAAGCACCATTGGCATGACCAGGACTCTGAACAAAGAGAAACTCCACGGCATTTAGTGACGCTCTAATGATGACAAGTATAGATTTACAGTTTTACAAATAAATTAATAAAACCCGCAATTTAATGTCATTCATGCCCACGAAATTTGTGCGTGCGTGCGTGCGTGCGTGCGTGTGTGAAAACACAACTGTATGCATTGATGAAATGAATCGATGTAAACATTTGTTTCTTTTTGCTGTCCAGCCATCTATGATGTGGTGGAGGAAAAGGTGGACTCAGAACCAGATTTTCAGTACATCCCAGAGAAGTCCCCTCAGGACCCCAGCCAGCTAGATCAGCATGCTCTGAGGGACTCTATGGTTGTCCTGAAGGATGGTCTGAGCAGTGGAGCCATACTGGCCCAGTTTGACGTGAGTTGAAATGCACAAATAATAATTCTCATAAATGTAGTATTTTTTATAAAAAATTTCAAGTGATTTGATGAATTATCAGTCAAGTGACCTCAACTTACTTCTGTTCTTACAGCAACTGTACAGGAAGAGGCCGGGGATGACCATGCTGTGTGCCAAATTACCTCAGAACGTTTCCAAAAATCGCTACAGAGACATCTCGCCCTGTATGTGATTGCCACACAAGATTTACACCTAAATACTCAGCAACATATGTTCTGTTATGTATGACACACTTGCTGTCATTATTCATTCCGCCTTCTGTTGGTTTTGGTCTTTTCCTTGTCTGGTACAATTGGTCCTTCTGAAGATGATGCCACGCGGGTCATTCTGAAAAGCACAGATGACTACATCAATGCAAATTACATCAATGTAAGTTTTGATTGTCCTTCCTCTGATTTGTTTGCAGATTCACATTTGTTCATTGTGTCAAAAGGTTCACTATGTCTTATTTTCTGCGATGCATTTTTTTAAAGCAAACAAAGCATCCATCAAGCATGAGCTAACAATTTATTTGTTTCCTGCATGCTGAAAACACATATTCCAGACAAGTAAGTTCTCTGTATTTCAATCCCCGTGTGTGCAGATGGAGATTCCCGCCTCCAGTCTCATAAACCGATACATAGCTTGCCAGGGTCCTTTGCCCAACACCTGCCCTGACTTCTGGCAAATGACCTGGGAGCAGGGTTCCTCTATGGTGGTTATGCTCACAACGCAGGTCGAGAGGGGACGGGTATGTGAAGAGTTTTCATTGAAAATCAGCAGTCATTGATTTCCTTTCTTGATATGATGAGAATTACATTTGTCGATCCTGAGTATTTTTGGTACTTTTTTGGGTTTTTTTGCCATTTGATTCTTCCTGAGTCATCGGTCTACCTTCCTCATTTGGGAACTTGGAGTTGTACTCTTTCAGCCCTTAAATAAGAGATTCAGTAATCATAAATTCCAGTGGAAGTCATCTTGGTTGTGCTGGCCAATTTAAGTCAGAGCCCGTCTGAAAGCTTGTTAGTCAACATCAGTAGACTATGAAATGAGGAAAATCTAATGAGATTATTGGATATATTGGAAATAACATATTCATGTACGATTGGTCTGCTAATGTAACTGTTAACACTAATATAAAGATTGGCATTTAGGTTGCTTGGCCTTGATTTTTGATTGATTTTAAATGAAATATGTTGTTAGTTTGACAAAGTCTTATGTACCTATCATGCTCATTTAAAAAAATTCAATAAGGCAACGACTGAATGAATGTTATTGATTTTCTTCAACTGTGTGTATTACTCAGGAACAGGAGAATTCCATCAACAAAGACCAGGTAACTTCCATGTGCCTCTCTATTTACAACGTCCTACTTGTCGGTTATAGGTGAAGTGCCACCAGTACTGGCCCAATCCAGACAGCAGCGCTCCCTACGGAGACTTCACCGTTACATGCCACAACGAGGAGGGCAATTCAGCCTTCCTAGTCCGGGAAATGACCCTCATGCATTTACAGGTGAGACAAGATGCAAAGATGAAGCCCTCTGAACGTTTCACGTCAGTCACCAATATTAACACAGTTATCAGTATCCTCTTGGTATTGCTGAAAGGAATGTCAAATACTTTACTATTGCACTAGTGTAGGTTAATAATAGATGATATCACCTTTAATAATCCATTCAAAATTCTACCATTTTTAACGGAATGGTTCATCCTGAGCAGGATGTGGCATTCATGTTTATGCACCCAATACAGCCCGATTGAGGAACAAAAAGAGGGAGAGGATGAAAAACAGCAGGGGAGATTAGAGAGAAAACATGGCGCGAGAGAGCGGCCAGTGTTTCGGGAAGAATGAACAGCCGAGGATCCAGAGGAGGTGTGTTGCCATAGTGAGCGGTGTGGGCTGTTCTTTTTCTGGCTCCCGCATGTGGACCACGTATTGAGATCTGGTTACCATGACAACCCAACCGCCCCTCCGTCAGTCAGATTCTTGTAAAAGAACAAAAACACAGAAGAGGAGTCAAAAGCAGAAAGGGAGACAACAAGTTTGCTTTAGTTTGCTGTTTACAGTCATAGTAGTTATTTTGCATTCTTTTAAATTAGAGACTACTCTGTAGTCATTGTCTTTGCCGCAGGAGATGAAACAATAATAACAGAGTTCCTTTTTTATGAGTCGATGTTGTTTGTTATGTTTAGATGTGCAATTTTTTCTTTGTGTGCACGTCTGTGTCCAGTTGACCTCCTTGACCATTTCCTACATAGCATAGCCTTTCAAAATGTATTGGTCTCGAAAGCAGCGTGACTGCCAAACGGTTGCCATAGTGAGCATGTTGCCGTGTTGGGGCAGCACAAGACGTCTGCATTGAATCAGTGTTTGCGATAGGAAAAGATAAACAGTATGGTAATTGATTTCACCTCATGGGTATCAGGACCAAAATGATCACAACTACTGTACTGGTGTTCTCATGACAACAAACGTAAACAAAACTGGTTCATTTTGAATATTTAAAAAATATACATAATACATAAAATCAGGAAACAAGAGACAGTGTCTTTTTCTCTTATGCAAGACCCCACAAAATCTACTTAGAGCCAAAAGGGTAGGGTAACCCTGGGCTGGTTGTCACCCAATCGCAGGGCACATATAATAGATAACCATTCATATTCACAATCACACTTATGGATGAATTTAGAATCTTCAATAAAGCTAACTTGCATGTTTTTGGAATGTGGGAGGAAGCCGGATTAGCAACAAAATTAACCATGGAAGCCCAGGGGGGGAACAAGCAAACTCCAACCGCAAACCTCCGAACTATGAGGCAGAAGTGCCAAGCACTCCATCTTACTGCACAAACATCCACCCTCCAAAGATGCTTTCATATCTCTCAACATTGAGGCTGACATTCTAATTATGTTCTTCTCATGGCCAGATCACATGTGAAGAATTAGTGTTTGTATGTATGGGTGTGACATCTGGAAGACTTTCTTTTGGTTTATTCTGTTTTCTACTTGTCAGATACATTTTACACCCATTCAGTTTCAGCCAGGCATCATGCAACCTGTTCATGACTGACAGCGTGAGCCCTTGGCAATAAGGTTTCAAATAGTTGACAGTGTTTTTTATCTGTCACAGTAAAATTGACCACAAATCCCCAATTGTGTTTCTCTCTGATATTGTGGAGGCTGTATATTTTAGACTAGAGGATGAATGAAACACATTTTACAGAAAGTCATATTGGTGGCAATGTGTCTTTGTATGCATTTTCAGAGTGAGCAGCAGAGAGAGCTGACCCAAATCCAGTACCTGGCTTGGCCTGACCATGGCGTCCCTGACGACTCCACTGATTTCTTGGACTTTGTTGCTTTGGTTCGGAGCAAAAGGACCGGGCAGGACCAGCCAGTGGTGGTACACTGCAGGTACGAAGGATCATATAATATGGCAGATTAGCACAACTGACACAATATTTGTTGCTCATACACTAATTGGCACATAAATACCTGATCTTCCCGGCATAGATCAGTCATCCGTGTTCTTAATGCTAAAACAAGTGATTGGCAAATTCTTACCATCATTGCAGAGTCAATGCGTTGACTAGTCGATTCAATGTATACGAGTTCAATTTGAGTTTGCTACTTGGACATACAGTTCAAATCTAGCCTCTGGTTCACTTCTGTAACTTTTAACATAAATCCTTTTACCTCCTGCTTTTTCCCAGTGCTGGAATTGGTCGGACAGGTGTTCTGATCACCATGGAAACAGCGTTGTGTCTCATGGAGTGCGGCCAGCCGGTTTACCCTCTGGAAATCGTCCGGACCATGAGAGACCAGAGAGCCATGATGATCCAGACACCTGTACGTCAAGCCACCTGTTTTTCAGTCTTGCTTCACCCATCGACTTGAACTCATCTGTCTCCGTCTCCACCAGAGTCAATACCGCTTTGTGTGCGAGGCCATTCTGAAGGTCTACGACGAGGGACTGGTCCGACCGCTGTCGCCTGCTGCCTATCAGCTCCCAGAGAAAGCGGATGGCATCCGAGAAGAGGAGGAGGAGAATATAGAGGAGAGAGAAGTCAAGGCGGAGATAGGGGAGGAGGCGGCAGCTGTGGTAGACCTGCTGGAAGGAGGTCTGGATGAGGAGGAGGAGGAGGACGACGACGATGAAGAGGTGGAGGTGCTTGACGTGGGGGAAGTGACAGAGGACGAAGTGGAGGAGCCCAGCATCGCCAGCGCCACCAGCGAGACAAGCGTCAACCCTGAACCCGATCCTGATGATCCGTGACACTTTATCAGAGGAAGCGGGAACAGGAGATGAGAACAAACGCACTGTTGCACTTTATAATAACAAAGATGGGAAGAACAAATAGACAACAAACAGGAAACACATTGACAGGTTCCAATTCAAGAAGCAATTCTGCGAAGTTGATAAGGTACCATTAGAGGCGGTTGTGTGTTCAGGGTACACACAAAGACATGTGGATGTGGAGTTGCTTTTGTGCCATACAGTACGTACTGAGGGGATGGGCTGTCCCATGGATGGAAGGCTTCCCGTCACCCTGTCCCCTTTGTGAGTGAGTCTGCCAGGCAGACCTGCCTTTTTTTTTTTTTTTTAACTTGATACAGAGATAAACCTTTTATCTTTTGTCCCTCCTGAAAGAGTATTTATTGTGTTTTATTTTGTGTCAAACCTTGTCCACTGAACAAAATGAGTTGTATGTTTTGTACCGGTCAAGAACATCATGCTTTCTCAGTCCACTTTAAGTAGTCCAGCAGTCTTATCCCTCTTAACTGCTTTGTTAATCGTTTGATTTGTGAGGATAGAAAAGCGACGTGATTTAATTTATTGTTTTGATCTTTCTCACCTTTCTTGTTTCAGACTGACAGATGGACATTGGGAGGAAAATTTAGCACGATGACTTCGGTTCATTGCTTTGCGTTGGCAGACATCACACGGCATAGAGAAGAACAAAACAGTTTTACAATGTTCACCCATTTTTTTGAACTTGGGTGCATTAATCGCTTAAAATCAAAGTGTCGGTAAATTAAATTGGATCTCACACCACTTTATTTCACCCCCAAAATGATCAAACTTTGACAACATTCGCCACACTGAATGGATGGCATCGAAAATGTTTTTCTATTGGTGGAGCTTCTTCCAACTGGGACTCATTTGGGCAAATTCCCCAATAGAAGTTTGTCCTGAAATGTGCCCAAAATGGCTGCTTTAAACCCAAATAGCCAATTTTGAACATGGATCCTGGAGTCGTGTTATTGAAATCTCTCATTCTAGGCATTTCCACCTGTCAAACATTTTTACGAGATCAAGTTGAGGACCCCTGGAATATATGGATTGCTCTCAGGAGTCCCCTCTTCACCAAATAATCGGAAACCATTTGGTGAGTCCATACAGATATGAAGCCTGAAAAACAAACATGTCACACTATTGGAAAAAAATACCCCAAAATTTTCACATGGAGTTGTATTATTCGTAACATGCAGCACTTTTAAAAAACAAAAAAATCTTATTTTAGGGTATCTAGTGGTACACCATCATTTCAAGGTACTTGATTTTTAAGCTTATTGAATGGCAGTTTGAGTGTTCACCTTCCCGAGTGAACAATTCCAGCGTGGAATTTTAACTTATTTAACACGTCATTGTTTTTTTTTTTCTTTAATTGATAAAATTTAACATTGTCCATAGCTGTATGGTGTGTAAGTTTTCATCGCCTTCGTCGACGACTGGATGAGTTTTGTTTCAAAAATTCTCTTTTCAGTCCTTCTCTACGGTTGCATCTCAATAAATTAGAATCTGTGGAGAATGTGGTTTTTCTTATGGTTCTATTTAAAAAGTCAAGCTTGTCAAATATATAGATTCATTATACACAAGGAGACATACGTAATGCTTTACTTTTTGCTAGTTGTAATTGGGGGTGTTCCAATCAGGGTTTTATGCTGCCACTTTCAATCAAGATAATCCATGAGTGAGAGTGCCCGATACCGATTGCGATATTGATCACTGGATTAGCTGCAGATTTTTCAATTTTAGAGCTGCTCAGTAATTACTTTTTTTTAACAATCGATTAATCTGTCATTTACACTGGTCAACAGCAAATTTAGTCAGAGATGTCTGTGTATTTTTGACACTGATTTAATAAATCTCTTTACTTTTTTCCTAGCACATCGGGTTTTTGAGATATTTTCATTTTTTGTTTTTACAAGTTTGGCCCATAAAATATAGCAACATACTAATTTTACCATGCGTTGTAATACATAGCTATGACGTTTTGGGGGGGAGGGGGATCCAGCTGTTGCTGAATGTAATCTTTAATTCATAAATATTATGAAGTATATTACTAAAGTACACATATTAGGGTCAGGCTGGTCTGAAGTATGAGCTGCAGGTGATCTGTTTTTGTGATCGGCAATGAAGTCATTGATTAACAAATGTCGATCAGAGCACTACTAGTTGTAATTATTATATCTTACAGCTCACAAAAGCCCAAATACAGTGAACCACCACTAAAGGGATTAAGCCCTGTCGTGAATAGTGAAAAACAGTGAGTACAGACACCCCCCTTAAAAAGGTTTATAATTGACGATGGATGCCACAAGATGTTGGCAAAGCAGTACTTACGTATGTTTAAATGATAACTTAAACCAACTTGAAATTGTTCCTTGGCACCAAGATAGCGCCAAAGCACATCTTTTGTCTAAATGAAGCTCCTCAACTCACTCCAGCAAAATTCCATGGCGCCAAAATGCCACAAGAGGTGGCAAAACACTTTGTGTGTAGTTGAAGATCATCAACTCACTTCAACATAGTTCCTTGACACCATGATGCCACAAAATGGCAACAAAGGAATACTTTTATTTGTCATCAGATAACATAGGAAGGGGGTACCCAAAACAAATTTGCGAATGCCAAATGGTGAATATGCGGGACTTCACAGACGTCGTCATTTTAACAGAAATTAGGGAGAGAAGTATTTTCCCTTGTGTTCCTAGATTAGTGTCAATACAGTATAATATCAGCTTCACTTTTTGAATTGAGCTATGGAAATAACCAAATTTATTCACCATATTCTAGTTTATTGTGATGCAGCTGTATAACTTCTCCTTGTTCTCTTCTGAATATTTGGAGCTGTCTGTTCTAAGCCTGCTTGTCTCTTAACTGGAATGAAACATGGTGCCATAAAAGCTTTTCCCTCTTTGACATGATTATTATTTTTTTTTAGTCTGTCCTGAGAAAACCAGCTTATGTTCAAATTGTCCTTAGCCCACCCTTTTATGCCGAATTTAGTTTGTCTCCGATCAAGAAGTTTAGTCCTCCGAAACGCCTTTGGCTTTCATAGCACATCTCGTCCATCCTCCTCCATGCTTTGTATTGTTCCCTCCACATGTTGTGTTGGAACAGTGGAACCATGCGTTTGTTTCTCCACAGCACATCCTCAAGCTGTTTTTTTTTTTCAAGAGAACAACACTACAATCACTCTGTCCCTTCCAGCTAACTTTGCATTCAGTTGATCATTTTTTAAATTTTATTTACCGGTAGTTTAAAACTAACACTTTTTAAAGCCCTTTGAGTGCCGCTTTGGCAAGACAAACAGGAATAAAACTTTAATGACATTTTACCAAGATAATAAAATCCTTGCAAGTGTGTACAACTCTACCAGACATCTAGCTAGGAGCTGTATAACTGAAATGTTTTGTTAATGACCCATAATTGATGAATTTGGGGTACTGAATGATGGTAGTTTTAGAGAGGTCTCAAAATGGGAAGGGCCAACTGTATTTTTTTGCAAAGATAAAAGCTGTTTTAGATGGCTCGGCAAAGGATAGCACTTTGTAGAATGCTGAGTAGCAAATAGTGCTACTGAAAAGGAAAAAGTTCCTTTTTTATGTTTAGAATTTATTATTTCTTTTTTTAAGACATGAGTAGGGGAAAAAAAGAAAAGAACTTCTGACTACACAGTGCCACTTGTTAATTTTGTGTAAATAATGCTAGACCCTGTAAATACAATGTTGTATATTAAAAAAAATCTTTAAAATAAAAGGGAAAATCAATTGTGAGCACAAGTATTTTGTTGTTGTTTTCCTCTGGATGATTCAATTGTTCCACAACTGGTGTTTACTTCCAAACTTCTTGATTTGACTTGACACAATCTCTACCGGCGAGTATATATGCTAAAACTCCGAGACGGTGTTTTTCCTTATATTTTAGATGAAGCTTTTTTGTGTGTCGTACCAATGTCTTGTTTCTTTCTGACTGGATTCCTGGTTTTACTGGTGCTTTGAACGTGTCTATAAGCTTGATTGTGAACAATTAAAGCTTGTCTGTCAAAGCATGGCAATGTCGCTTCAGATTTACACACTGCAAAAGGGAGGTAAAGAGGATCCAATGAGCACTTTCTATTTTGATAGCCATTGCTGATCTTTTTTCATATCTACAGCGGTTCTCAAAGGTCTCCACACTCCTGCTCAAATGTCATATTTTTCCAGCACTATGACCTATAACCTGTACATCACAATTGAAAAAAAAATAGAGATAAAAACGAACTTCGGTAATATGATTACACAAATGTACACATCCTCTTACAAGCGAAGGGTGTGGCTTAGTTCTAAACGAACCAATCACATTCAAACTCATGTTAAATCAAAGTTAGCACGCACCTGACACCATTTGAAGTGCCTCTGATAAACCTCAAGTCAAGTTCAGCTGTTCTAAAAGGCTTTTCCTGCCATTGGCTTGCTTTCTCGCAGAAGCCTGAAAGTCTGGTGCTAACACGGACTGGTATTTGGAATGGTGTATAATTCTTTCCACGGTACCTTAAATAAGGCTGATCTGTAAATGTCAGCAAAAGCTTACTAGAGCAACTGGAGTTCATGTGGGTGTGCAGAGGCCCTTTAAATGGTGGCAGGTGAGTGGTGACTCCCATTTTACATTAATTTAAATTCGATTGGTTGATTCTGAGCACAGCCACATCCCCAATCACATGAAGGTGTGCACACTTGTGCAACCACATGATCTCAGGAGTTAAATTTTTTTAATGCCCTTTTAAAGGCTTCTTAAAAACTTGCGCACTCTCGACCCTTGTGAGAATAAGCAGATTTGAAAATGGATGGATGGATGGATACAAATAATGTATTTTCAAACAGTTGGACATTCGAAACATTTGAGAAGGTCAAGCTAGGTTATGGTGCATTTTAGGTTCATCTTCAAATTTCACCCATGGCCGAATATCCCGAATTTGGGGAAGTTGAAAAAAATCACTGTTCTAAATTATCCAGGAGAGGGCGCTTATGATTCTTGAAAAACATCTACTCTTTGTTCACAACTGAGTTAAATGTGCACGTAAGTCGGAACACACTAATGCATACATACCGTAAATATGTGTATGAAAATCACCTTGGCGTCATAAAAATAAAACAGTCACATGAAAAACAGTAAGTAGGACGGTAATTGAGTGGGCTATTTTTTGGTAACCTCGAAATGTCATGTGAGGCTGTCGTAAACTGAGAATTATATTATTTGTTTTTATTATATATATATATATATATATATATATATATATATTTATGTATATGTGTATATATATATATATATATATACCAGGAGGAGGTGTTGAATGACCCAAATGTATCTGTGCCATTGTTCTCTTGTTTCAGTTTTACTACCAAATTGACTTCAAAACAAATTACTTCAGTTCCTGTATGAACTCGAAGTAAATGTGCGGATATAATGGCAAGCCTCCAAAGTTGTGAGAATCAAAATGAGTCCGTGTATCTTTAAAAAATACTAATCACGTTGTTGTTTGGGTTTATCGCGGCGTCACTTCCGGGGGAAAGCTTTGCCTCCTACTTTTTTTTTTAGTTGGGACCTGGGAGAGGAAAATCTCGCTAGGGTCGTGGGGCGGAATAAAATAGCAAGCAGAGTTCGAACGCTTAAAATGCTTCATGTTGCTCTTCGGTCGTCTAAAATGCAAGTGGGCGTGCTTTCCCACTGGATTTAACGCAGGCGATTCGGTAAGTATCCCTCGCTTCTTCATTCGAACCCTTCTCGGCATTCACAAGTGTCTCCCACAGCCGGACAAGTGTATCTTACGTCCAGCCAAAGAAAGCACCAGGCGGCGCTTGTTTTAAGTCACCGTACAGTCAAGTAGAAATGGTACGCCCGCAGTACAATTGCAGGCATGTTTACGGCTTGGCTAGTGCTTGAAATCAAGCGCACACCTGTTGCTTCGCTTCCTACAGGTACTTTTCACCCCCTGGCTGAGCTAATACAGCAGTGACGGTTCGTTTCTCTGTGTTCTTCATTTAAATGAAATATCTGATTTAATCAAAAGCCATAACCTAAATAGCAGCAACTTAATTGCCTTGCCCGCGACTGACTTTTAGTGTCATTGCCCCCCTTTTTTCCCCCGAAACGTCGTCATTTTCTGAGCATCATTTGACGTGGATCAATTTTTGGCCATAAATGCTTCTTTAAGGACCATGATAGTTAGATGTAAATCTTTTAATTATCCGTCAAGTAGTGAAGCACTACACTATCAGTGACATACAGTATATAGATAATATACTGTATGTTCCTGTATGTGTTAACGTCATAGTCCAAATTTTAAACACATTCTAAATACACTTTACTAATCCATATAAAGTAGTTAACCATTGTACTTTCAGTAAAATTTATACATAAACAGTTGGCCATCTAGGTACACCGATGTCACTTTACACATTATACATCATTTCATGTACTTTTCATCATCATAGCCTATGTTATAAACACTTTTGTGTGATACAGGTGGTGTAGTGTGACCCTCCATCACTCCCAGCATGCTGAGTTTCCTGCGCAGGACATTGGGGCGACGCTCCATCCGCAAACATGCTGAAAAAACGCGGCTACGGGAGGCCCAGCGTGCTACAACGCACATCCCAGCTGCTGGAGATGCCAAGTCCATCATCACTTGCCGAGTCTCCTTGTTGGACGGGACCGATGTCAGCGTCGACCTGCCGGTAAGAGCAATCCTAATGAGGTCAATTGATGTCAAAAATGGAGTGAAAAGCAGTATAAAACTACAAATTTGAATACTACGCCAATGTAATAAGCCATTTAAGTGAATACCTGTCAAAGATATATAATGTGTGCAATGGACAACTACTGATAACTACATGTTTGTGCAGCTTCTGCTTTCAGATCCTCTAAGTAGGAGAATGATTATGTTTACGTCAGGGAAAACCTGTTAATATTGATAATATTTCATTTATCTCGCGTGTGGTTTGTCTGAGGCTGTGGCTTTAAGGCAGGTGTGAATAAAGTTTATTGACTGGTGTGTGATTGAAGCGCAACACGAATCTTCATCTCTCTGAGCTCAGTTACTCACAAAGTTATGATGGTTTTATTTTTAAAATTGAAAACTTAAATACACACAATTGAACCGCTACCGTGAGCTTTTTTTAAATGCTCTGAAACATACTTTATAATTTATCATACTGTACATCGAGATGATGAATGTATCTTTGATTTTTATTTTATTTTTTTAAATTGTGTGAATGTGGCTCATTGAAAATTAAAAGTACAGTAGTTGTATTAGTGGGAATTTTACACTGGTGACGGCGATGTTGTTGTGTCAGTAGCACAGCCTCTTGAAGCTTATTCACATGTGGGTGTGCACACTTCAGTAGCTGATCACCTGTAATTCCATGATCCTCTCTGGACAACACGCTTAATCACATGACCGCATCACATGACATGCCCGGCTCCTCACTCTTGACTGTTCTTTGAAATGAGAGGTTTTCCTTGTTTCCCCTTTTGTCCCCCTCAATTCACAACAAAGGTTTTCTTCCTCCCTGCCGCAGGCTTCTTCTATTATTCACTGATTGCTTTCCAAACTTTGACCCACAATTAAGCTGGGAGAGGAAAAAAAATCAATTATGCCATTAGTGCTGCTATCGCGCATTGTATTGATAATGAGATTGATTAGCAACATTTGTGAAGACGATTGTGTACCTTTTCATATTTATGACAGTATAGTGTTGCGTTGATATTTGCATTCCCCTAACGTACATTATGCCTTGAAACGTAAACGTGCAGTGTATGCTTATTAACTTTGCATTGTTATTAGATCATACCTTCCATTGGCATTAAATGTGTGTAGTAATTGACATCTTTTTGCACCAGTAGACTGATTTTCAAAACTTTGTGATATTTCCAGGTACATTTTAAAATTTGGAATGTAATAGGAAGTAAGTTTATTTTGTTCAGGAATTCAAATGAAAAAGTGATTAAAATATTAATCAAACACAGACCGGCAGGCCACCTCGGCCTAATTTTGATTTTAAGAAGAATTTTCATGATGTAATACTCTTAATTTCTTCATCATTATTTTATTGTTATCTGTAAGCAATCATCATCCAAAGAATTTTGTCACCCTCTGTGTAATCTCGCTTTTTAATTTGAACTATTGAAGCAAATGATGCTTTCCCTCAATATTCTCATTTGTTGAGATGCACCTGTAGGGATTAATTTCATGAGCGGGTTACACACTAAATTGCTAACCAGTCAGTCAAAGTAGTGACCTGTATGGCTGTATTCACACTCTTAAGGTTTGGATTATTTGGTCATGTCAGGAATGTATCATCTGAAACCTGCCTGGTGCATATCAAAAGAGTGAACCGAGACCAGTTGTAGAATTAGTCAAGGAGCTGCAGCAGGGCTATATGATGGAGCAAAAAAAAAAAAATATATATATATATATATATATATATATACACATACTATTTTATTCGTATTTATTTATTTATTTTTTAAAATCATTTAGCCATTTCACCAAAATATGTCTTTACTTGAAAGTGGTCTGTGGTGCAAAAAAGTTTGGGAACCACTGTACTGTCACTGCACTGAAAAATACCGTCATCAGTTAATTGCTTTCGACTGGACTTTCAATTACTTTACAGTCAAATAAAGAATATATATATTTTTTAATTTGTTCAACCCTACTTCATTGTTTTAGTTCACACTTAATGGCTGGACAGACACTCCAGAGACCCAGCTATTTGTATACTAGCAATTATAACGTAAAGTTTCCATTCTACCATCCCCTTTAAGTAGGTTTAGTGTCGAACTATTCAAGTTACCCTCTTCATGATCCTTATTATTGTAGATGTATACATTTCCTCACGTTGACTACACTAAAGTCCCGTCTGGGTAGAACAAGCACACGATATACAAAACGCAATTCAGACAAAATAACATGTGTGCGGGTAGGTTTTCTCGCACCAGTCCCCCTCTGCGCCTCGCAGGGCAAACCGTTTCATAATGCCATGCCTGCTTTATTTTTCATCCAAATATTTGTAGCAGGAATCCCAAAACGTAGTTGCATTAGAACCTGAAAGGTCTACTGAAATCCGATTCACGTCATTAGTTAAGCTCCAATTTGCTTCTTCTTCATAGGCAAAATAACCTTTTCACATTACTGACTTTTGTCCTATTAATACTGGTGCCTTAATGACACGGCGATATTAATAGGTGAGAACAATAAGCCACTCTTTTCAACACTCTTCACTTTTATGATAAATGAGAAGAGGGCTTTGCTGATTCACTTGCATCTCGTGGCTAACCAGTTGGCGGTTAGCGTGTGTGGCTAATATCGGCAGTCAATCCAACTGCCTGTTTGTGTCGTGCCATGCCATCTCAAATGAGTTGTCTTGACCTGCCAAAAGCATATCGGCAAACTATGATGTCTGACATATTTGAAAGATACGAATATTGTACTATTTGCACCCAGTAACTGTTTACGATCGGTTATTTTTCACTGAATTGCATACTTTTGAGATGTGCATCACCAGTAGACTGGAGCCCGATTTATAGTCATGCAAATTAGTTTGTATTTCCTCATTTTAGTTGGATTGTCGGTTCATTGACTGAACATCTGCGCATATCTTTTTCAGATAATATGTACCCTTCTTACTCAGTGGTTGAGACACATTTGTGTGATCACATGCCGAGAGACCGCAAAAGAACAAAACAAAAAATTTGAATCACTGTAACAAAGCATGGCACACATGCTCACACACAAACACGCATGGACAATGAGGCCTTTGTACGCTGTCTCTCTCCCTCCGGAGGGTACTCCAGGGGTACGCTATGCCTGCTCAGAGATGCCAACTAGTATGGGGCCTGCACACTATTAGCGGTGTGTGCGGGAACAAACTTTTGTCACTGATGATGGGTCATGTCCTTAAATTTATTACATAGTTGTATCCAGGGCAGTTGGGAAAAAAATACAAGTAGGATTTACTGTACAGTTAATGCATGAAAAAAGGGGTGCTTACAAAACGCTATAGCTGCAACAGTGATTTTATGACATGACAGATTTTTTTTTTCTTCTTCGCAAAGCACAAAGACCAAAATGGTCACAAAACGTCAGGTGATCACATGGTGTGTTCAGCTTCCCCACTTCCCTCAGCTCCATGGTGTCTGGGGCACTTAAACCCCCATTGCCATGGCAACACTGTCACCATGCCTCAAGTTGAGGTTTGGGAGACAAATGTGCCTGGGTGTGTGTGTGTGTGTGTGTGTGTGTGTGTGTGTGTGTGTGTGTGTGTGTGTGTGTGTGTGTGTGTGTGTGTGTGTGTGTGCGTGCGTGTCTGAATGTGAGGGAGAGATCTTCCAGTCCAAGGCAGAACACAGGCAGTAACTGGTACAGCCTTTCTGGAAACAGCAACTCCTATTCAGGCTATTTAGAAGATTTACTCATACCGATACTCAGTGAAAATACACAAACTAAAACACAGTAATCACAAAAGGAACATGAAACAAAGACACATCGCAATTTTTGTGCTCGTGTTGCTTGTTTACAATACGTCGGTTCTCCAATCAAGAAGCTATTCAGCACTGAGAAAACCTAACTGCTCTTTTCTTTTCTTTTCGTGGGTACTCTCATTAGAAAAAAGCCAAAGGTGAGGAGCTGTTTGACCAGATCATGTATCATCTAGACATAGTAGAAAAGGACTACTTTGGACTACGCTTCATGGACTCTGCACAAGTTCCGGTGAGACAGATTTTCTTTTGAGCAGTTCCCAGGTGATTTAATACCATGTCTGTGATATCCTTTCCTCTGAAATAGAATCCGCATGTATTTAGTGCATGGACTGGTGCTTGAAGAACACGAATAATTAGATTTCAAAAAAAAAAAAAAAAGCTGAAGCAAAATCAATGACTCAAAGCTTCACAGTAAACCTTTTCCACATGGACTAATGTTACTGCTGACACATGCACCACTGCATGTACAATAATTCGCCATGATGCTGGTGAGCCAGGAGGAAGCGGTGCGTAAAAGATAAAGAAGACAATAAAGTGCAATGCAAAATGTAACTCAACACAAAGTATTGATATTTACTGAATTAATGTAGCCTACCACCGCTCGTTACAATTTATTGGATTGTTCTGAAAGACATGCACTCATGCACTTTCAATTGTTTTCCTAGACAAACAATTTAAAAAAAAACAAAAAACTTCAAAGCAAATTCATACTCAAGCTGCTATGTCTACGACCGAGGACCAGGCACTCATTTAACTGGCTAGCGTTTAGCCATTTAACAGCCAGCCGCTAACCTGAGCTCACAACAGTCAACTCTCTACTCTCATTTGCTGACTCCCACGTCACGCTAACACAAATCATTGCCTGTAACAAAACTTTGTGCACCTCTGCTTAACCTGCATGAATATGCAAACTCACCCCACTGTTACAGATGAACGTATGGACACATTTTGAGAAACGGACAGATAAAATAATTTTTTTTTGGTCACCTCAGGCATTCCGCTCAATTATTTGTATGCAAGCAATCACAAGTATGTTTTCCATAGAATGTCCTGTTTCACATTTTGCTGTTTGGAATCCACCGGAAAAATCAAACTGACATCAACATCTCGTCGTCATTGGCTCGACTAAAAGGATTGGTTCTGGCACTCTTGTCGGCTTAGAGAGTCTGCTGGTGCTCGGACTAAGACTTTCAGTTCTTGGTGCGCACCAATGCCCTGCGAACGCCGTAAAAACTGACGCTGGGGAAGATTTAGCAGAGAGGAAGGGCACATTATTGAGGGCTGGAGGTAGTCTGTGAAAAGTGGGAGAGAATGCTACAAGGAGGAATGCGGGGGAGAAAATGCCACGGTGCTCCGAGTTCCACGCTCGTTCACTCACTACCACGTGCTCAATCACAATCACAATCACCAGCTTTTGCTCTCCTGACTTCCTTCATGTCTCATCGAGCCTGCATGTCTCTCGTAGAACAAAGCTCTGGGTCAAGTTTAAGATATACATTCTCTTGCTACTTCATTAGTTACGTGTGCACAATCTCATAAGATACATTAGAACTTGTGAAGTCAGCAAGTATGTACTGCACAGTACCTTTTGTTATGTGGAACATTGTTGAATGGATTGTGCTTTTTTGTTTCTGTTTCAGCACTGGCTTGACGTTACAAAAAGTATAAAAAAGCAAGTGAAAAGTAAGTACAGGGGGCCCTCTTTTCCCTTTTTCCTTAACGTCGAAAGTTACTTTTTTTCTTCACGCTTTTATGAGCAAGAGCAGAAAATGTTTTTATGGGAATAACAAATCTGCGGGCGCATTATGCATCTGGTTTTGCTGTTTCATTTCATATTTCCCTGATGGTACCTTGGGTCTTATTATGTGCAGTAAACAATTCTCATGCTTGACAACTTTGACATCCTGCTGTAATTTCACATCTTTTAGTTGGCCCGCCATACTGCCTTCACATGAGAGTTAAGTTCTACTCCTCCGAGCCAAACAACCTGCACGAGGAGCTTACCAGGTGAGCTAACATATAAACTAGAACTATTCGAATTGAACGAAAACGCCTTATGAACAAAGGTTCTGATTTTAAGTTCTTTTTGAATCGGTTGTCATAAACAATTTGTTAGATAAGCACAATTTGAATGTGAGAAAAGGGCTATTGTGCCTCCTCTGACTGCGAGTCGTGCACTGTCCTTTGTTCCGTTGTTTTTGCCATCCTTCATGTGAATGAGTCACTCTAAAAGCATTGTTTCAGCCTCAGACACTTTGAGTGCAGTCATCTGACTTTCTGGCTAATCTTGTTGAAGTGATAGAGCCAGACGTTGCTCGTCGTTACGTTGGCTTGCTAGAACAGTCATGTGACAAGTATTTTTTGATGACCCAAAATAGATGGGCCAAGCAATAGATACATAAATAAATACAAGTAAAAAGTATGTTGCATTACAACTACGCAGACGAGCGCAATTTATCTGTTACTTAAGTATTTGTAACTGACTAGACCTAGCTTGTTACTACCCACCCCTGCTTGTAACCTAAAAAATGAATCATCACCATGTTTCACAAGTGAAGTTTGTTTTTCTCCCAGATACCTTTTTGTGTTGCAGTTGAAACAAGATATCCTCAGTGGAAAGTAAGTCATTTTCCTGCATCTACGTCAGGGGTGTCAAACTCGATTCACATTGTGGGCCACATACGGCCTCGGTAGATGTCAAGTGGGCCGGACCATTAAAATTATACCATACTCTGCTATAAATAACCAAAATATCATGTCTTTCCTTTGTTCTGATCAAAACAGTGTGTCCCCTTGCGGATACTCCATGAATTGCACCTTATTAAAAATATTCATTCCGTGTCTTTTATGCATTTTTTTCACTTTTAAGTTATCCTGCGGGCCTGATCGAACCTCCTTGGGGGGGCCGGTTCCGGCCCGCGGGACGCATGTTTGACACCCCTGATCTACATTAAGGCATAAAGATATTTTCTCCTTCCTCTGACTGTGAAGTTTTATCTGGATAATTGCTTTTGGCTCATTTTTCTGCATCTTACCAAACCTGTCGACAATTTCAGGCTAGAATGCCCATTTGAGACAGCAGTGGAATTGGCTGCCTTCTCGCTACAGGGTAAGTCAGCTAAGCGGGAGTAAAAAAATGGTTTGGTCCATCAGCATCTTATGTGGTTTAGGCTTTTAGACACAAAAGCCATTGTTTACTACTTCCAGTAGGATGATGTTGGCCCACATTCCATCTTGCTTTTTCACAGAGGTTAAATCTTTTCACCCTTCTGCATGTCGTCTAAAGATTGTTACTAATCCGGTTGGTATTTTCAAACTGGAGAGCCTTTAAAAAAATCAACTTATGTGTCATTTCGAAAGTGCTCTTGCCAAGGCCGACCTGACGGCACAATGCATTTTCAAGTGGAGCACTGCTGGCTCTTTATGTGACTGGCCCAGTGTTGTGTAAGTCACCAAATCCCCCTTTTTTTGTGACATGGTCAGGAAAATACAGAAATTATCATGTTTTGGTTAGTTTTCAAAAGCTTTATGTTCTCCCTGTAACTTACTTTTTGCAATTGCAATTAAGATTTCACCTCCAACATTTACAATGTAAGGTTGACATTGTATTCTAACTTCGCAATATTGACTTGATTGGTTACAATTACATTTTTTAGGACACATCTATCCACACACTCACAGTGAATGTTTTTAACGTCACATGACCAAATTCAGAAAACAGGCAAGCCATGGTCATTACGTGTGCTCTTAGGCGTTGTGATGTCATTTTCAGTTGACAGCAAGTGGCAAAATGGCTGCCACCTGAGATGGCTCAAAACAGATGGATTTTGCTGCTTAATTCATATTGTACAAATGGAATACTAAGCAGAATGCATTTTTAGACTCGTGGTGCCTGCCACATACAACATATTGTAAAGGAAATTTTTGCCTCGAGTTCCCCTTTGACTCGGCCTTTCACTTGTGTGTATGAAGTTGATGCCAAACTAGACTGATGCTGCGATTGTGGTTTCCCATTGCTTAGAGCCACCTGAGCAAACAGAACTTGATTAACGGTTTCTAAATTGACTTGTTTGCGTTTTCGCTGCCTTTGCCAGATCAATGCACACCAGAAACCATAAGGTTCTGATCTTCTAGTAATGTTTTACTGACATTTTTCTCGTCTCATCTTGCTACAGAAGGCAGCGTGCACACAGATTCTGTAGAATCTCATTTGTCAAATGTATTAGTGTGGAGAAGGGCACAAAATAACTTCCAAGGTAGTAAATATACCATGGGACTTATTGAAGTCATCAAGTGGAGAAAATATGCCAACAACGGTGGCATTACCATGAACTGGATGTCAATTTAAAATTGTTAAAAAGACGACAGTGATGGTGCCAAGAGACGGAGTGCAGCATTGAAGTTGTTTCAGGCAAGCACTAAATGTTTCGTACATGTCACAGCATTGTCCTGCCCTCTTCATATGTCTGTGCTGTGGGGTAGGGTGACAAGACAGAGGCCTCATCTCATAAAGAAAAACACACTTCAGACAAACATGTTTGGGGAAAATGTGTTATATCCAATGAAACCAACGTGAACCTTCTGGCCCTAATTCTAAAAGACATCTTAAGACTAAAACAACACCATACCCACAGTGGTGGCAGCATCATGCTCAGCTGAAATGGAGGCTTTAGGTGGAGGAATGACTTCTGGAGCAGCTCAACCTTAGTTGTGGTTATTCAGAGGCACTTTAACTGGTGGTAGGTGCGTGCTGACTCATTTGATATTGAGTTTACGTGATTGGTAAATTCTGAACACATCCTCATTCCCATTTATACGGGGGTGTGCATACTTGTTCAATCACACTAAATGCTTTGTTTTTATTTTCCCCTCTCAACGAGTGGTTGAAATTATTCATCTTGGTCCTCTTCGTTAACATCACAAAAACTGTTATTTATTTATTTTTTATATCCACTCTATTGTTCAGTGTTTTGTGGAACTTTGTAACCAACACGCACGCGTGCACACACGTGCTCACACACACACTTCCATAGTCATTGTAGGGTAAATGCCAGCTCATTAGTGCTCCATCCTCTTCAGTGGCCTCCTATTCCAGCACCTTCTCTGTCTTTGCTTTTTCTCCCCTGTTGAGCTTCCTCCTTTTCGTAATCTCTTTAAAGAAAAATTATTTTTTTTCCTCCCCCCACTATCTATACGCTAAGCCTTCACTCACTGTCAGGGAAGCACTTCCAAGATTCAAAGATTAATCAACATCCTTTCTTCCACAACAGATAATAAGCTTTAATTGCACTTTGTCTTACTCTGAACGCACTTCATTGTTTATCGTCTCATGATTTCTTCTCAAATCGGTGCTCAACTGTCTTATTGAAGTTCACAATACTCCCGCAGTGCTTTTAATTTGTGAATGGAACGACCTGTACAGTACATGCCTGGTAGGTTTAGTCGTTTCCTTGGTTCTCAATGTTTCTGGGATGGTTTGGCTGAGACTGACATTGACCATTGTGTGATTTTGTTTGTGACACTAACTAAAGTATAAACTTCCTCAAGCACATCTTTTAAAGTTTTGAAAATGTTAATCAAGTGGAATGTTAGCGCCTTTGTACGATATGTGGCCCCTTTCTTATCAACTGATGACCAAAAATCTTGCCAGTTTGTGTGTATTTTTATTTTGTATTTTTTTACAAACATTCACTCATAAGAAAAACAAGATTATCATGTTTTTATTTTTTTCTTCCACAGCGGAACTAGGTGATTGTGACCCACTAGAACACAGTCTGGATCTTGTATCAGAATTCAGATTTATCCCCGAACAGACTGAGGATGTGGAACTGGCTATATACAACATGTGGAAGGAGTGCAGGTTGGTTTGTTTTTCACGACAGAACTACCGCATTTGACTGTTTTTCATTCTGCACACAGTGTAGACTAGCTGTTTTTTTCTGGAGCTAATACATCATTCTGATTTTATTTTATTTATTTATTTTTTACACCTTCAGAGGTCAAACACCGGCACAGGCTGAGATCAACTACTTGAATAAAGCAAAATGGCTGGAAATGTATGGTGTGGACATGCATATGGTTCAGGTAAGTGACACACTAACACACACACACACACACACACACACACACACACACACACACACACACACACACACACACACACACACACACACACACACACACTTTTCATCAATAGAATGAAATTACTTCCCACTGGTGAAAGCATTTATCGCGATTCATAGTCAACGACTTGCTGCAGGTCATGAATATGTTTGGCCAGTTCAAATTGTGTGTTTTCAAATTCATTGAAGATCTGAACACGGACAAAATTTTGTTCTTCAATTGTATTGATTTTTATGTATTGTGTTGGGATACTTTTGGATGTACGCGTTTGTAATTTTAATTTGCTGTTGAGATGTGTTGTCCAAAAGGTGTCAGTAATGCTGTAAATTCTCCTCTCCTCTTTCAATGCACAGGCACGAGATGGTAATGAGTACAGTCTGGGTTTGACACCCACTGGTGTTTTGGTGTTTGAGGGACAAACCAAGATTGGCCTCTTTTTCTGGTATGCTTGACTACGAGCCAATTTGTTGTCCTATTTAAATGCCTCGGATGTGATCTACCTATTTTTTTTTTTTTGTTCTGTCTTGAGTATTGTGTTTGTGTGTTCCTGTTTGTAGGCCAAAGATCACTCGCCTGGATTTCAAAAAGAGCAAGCTGACTCTGGTGGTTGTGGAGGATGATGACCAGGTGAACTTGCACGCCGTCAAATAATTATTTGCCAAAAAAGAAAAAGCGGTAAAAGGCGTAGAGGGAGCAAGAAGGCGCAAAGTGTAGCATGTGGAATGGTACTTATGTGTGTGCGCGTTCGTGTGTGTGTGTGTTTGCAGCAGCTATCAGACTGCAATGATTGGGGAGCAATTCGCTCACTTTATTGATATTAATCTATATTTCTCTTCAGATTTCAGCGAAGTGTGCTCCGCAGTTTTCATTTGCTCTTGAATTCTGCAATATCAATCTCACATACTGCACCAAATTATAATCGTTCTACTGTCAACACTTGGTCGTTTCATATTCAGGGCCATATGGAATAATACTTTTTACATCTTATCGGTGGCTAATATTGTTCCTCAAATAGGCATTGCTCTTTAAAAGCACATAAGTCTGTTGGCAGTTGCTTCACAGGAAAAATACAGAGCTTTGTTTCCTAATAAAAGAAGAATAATGTAGTGTTCCTTAGGCCCCCTGTCCCAAAATAAAAATGAAAGTGGACTTGTTGGGTTGCCCAGAGGCAAGTGTATATGTGGGAGCAGCAGAGCTTGTTCATGTCCATCCTGGAGGTCCGTGTGGGAGGTTAATAAAGAAGCCTCCTCTCTGGTATTTCTGGTATGCATTATCCACGCTCCCCACCACCACACACACATACACTGTACACACAGCTCTGGCCCTCTTGCTCGGCTCCCTCCTGACAGTTAAATAATGTATCATTTCCTGGTCGGTTCATGTATTTACTCAAGCTTAGATACTTCATCATCATACATATGACACACAGTAGTATAACTTCGGCGGTGACACTCATAAGTGTAAAGGCTGGCTGGCAATTGTCTCTGGAGATGCGAATTTATACTTGAGTATAAAGAGTAAATCCTGTCATCATCTCTGCAACACTGGTCATGTCTTATTGTATAACATATAACTACTGTGTCTGGGTTATCTGCAGGTAGATGTTTATTTCTTGGTATAATTCTTAGAATTCTTTAACAAAGACCTCCTTCACACCAGAGAATGCAACTGTAATCATGTCTTGAGCTGAACAAAGCGAATGGCTTCTTCCGAAAGTAAAGTGTGCAATTTGACCCAGAAGTCAATGAAGTGCTGATAAGGTTGAGTAATGAATGCGTGGCCTCTTTTATCAGTCAGACAGTAAATATGCAACTCAATGCAGAGTGCACGGTGACTTACCCTCATTTAAATCGATGCAGCTAGCAAACAAAATGCTATGTAATGTTTTATGTATGTTATTGTTTACGTCCATGTTGCCACTACCTGCCTTCCCTTTACTTGCAATTTGGGAATCTGCATGGGGATTTCTTTTTCATTTGTTCATTTTGTGTAAACGGAGACAATGACTATATGTTACTTGAAACATACAGTCAAAAAAATGGAATTTGGCACTTGGATGTGCAGGGTAAATCCAATAGCATGGCCCATTTGGTTGTTGGTGCTGATAATCTTCATCTTCGTTATCACTGAAATGTAATCCATCCTCTGTAGGGCAAAGAGCAGGAGCACACCTTTGTCTTCAGAATGGACCACCCGAAGGCCTGTAAGCACCTCTGGAAGTGTGCTGTGGAACATCATGCCTTTTTCCGGCTGAGAGGGCCAGTACAAAAGAACTCTGCACGCTCCGGCTTCATCCGCATGGGATCACGCTTCAGATACAGGTAACACGCTGTGCACAAGTTTCCATGGGTTTTTCCAAAACAGACTTGCAAGTTCAGTGCCTGTAAATTGTCATTTCCAATTCACACTACCAAAAGACCACTGAACTGTTGCTGTTTGAACAATCCACCTTGATTTATTTGTATGCCATAAAAAATAAATAAATAAATAAATAAATAAAAAATCGAAATGCTCACATTGGTAGAGACGGTTGACAACGAACAGTGTCATCTTACTGGCAGTGTGGCAGTGTACTGGGCGTGTGTGTGTGTGTGTGTTAGACAGTTATCGCTCAAATGCTTTCAGAGTTCAACCGGGGTCATTTGTGTATCTATGACAATGAACTGTTTTCAGAAAACTGTATTCTTGTTTGAGTTTGACGATTGAGCCTAAGTGGACAGTTGCACTTTTATGCTCTGCTAAGTTAAAATGTGTTTTTTCTGTGACCAGTGGAAACACAGAGTACCAGACAACAAAGTCCAATAAAGCCCGCCGCTCAGCCTCCTTTGAGAGGCGGCCTAGTCGACGCTACTCTAGAAGAACAATGCACAACAGAGGTGAGTGCCACAATCAAGTGCTGTGTATGTAGACCAGTGAACAATGTATCAAATTTGTAGACCAGTGAACACAACAAGTGTGTACCCACACTTAACTGAGCAAGACTCAATTGCACTCAAACACGGTCAACGTTATAAGCGCAGTGGTAGTTAGAAGTTAACATGTCCTCATCGTGGGTAGAAATGTCAACATGGGACTGTTAATGATTGACAGTATTTGAACTGCTGTTTTTCTAAGATGGAATGACTGTACAGTTGGCATCTTCAATTATTTTTGAAAAAAAGATTGCATGTTCAAGTTTTAATTTACGATTCAGGATTTCTGAATTATACATTCAGTCTCATTCTTTCACCTGCATCACCTAAAGAGAAAAATTGTGGATTTATACCCGCGGGGAAAGTCATTTGAAGTCACTACTATGTCACAGATTCCAAGATAATCAATTCAAACAAGTGTTGTTCCCAAAACTCTTCTTTAACCCCTTAAACATGAGTAGATTGCTTGAGAGACAGCCCCAGCCAGGAACCAAATTGATTTAGATGAATTGCTTGTTAACTGCTATGAAAAGTGTCTGGTTGAGGTAAGAATTTTTCACCAAACATTAATGTACATTTGTTTAAATTTATTTGTCATTTTTATCCTGTGTGGATTGAAAGGGGAAGTTAAGCCCCCAATGTTCTTGACAATAATAAGTTCTATGCAGCTCTATTGGTCGTTACCTGAGCCCTAAGCAACTGTGATGTCTATTTCAGTTGACAGAAAGTGGCACTTCCCGAGATGGCGAGAAACGGATGTATTTTGCTGCTTAACTTGATATTAATCAGAATGCCATATTTAGATTAGTGGGGGGGGGGGCGTATAGAACATGTTACTATAAAAAAATGTTGGGGTTGACTTGCCCTTTAAGAAAAAAAAAATCTTGTTTTTCTTGTTTTCCGTTACCCTGCATCACTTTCAGACTTCACCTGGACACAAGGTTTACCATATTTTCTGTTTGTTTTGCAGGACCCTTCCATCCTCAGGAGTGAGTGCTCTATCTTTTTAAACATTGTGATTGTGACCAAAATTGAAGAATTAGCTGTTATAATTGTGCTAATTTGTGTATTCATTGCTGTTTTTTCAATCATCGTTAACTTTCAGTGGGAAAAGCATGAATGTATCCTAAAATATACCGTACATTTTGCCATCATTTACTCAGAGTAGTGACTCACATTGAGTCACATTGTCAGGCCTGATTATAACTCAAGTCACATTTTTGTTTCAGAATTTACATGTGGGCTGAAGACATGACGTCACCTACATAAGCTATTTAAGTAGTTGTTGAGTCAGACTTCTTGTGACTTAAATATCATTAGAGTTATTGGGTTTTGATAACTCCACACTGCAACAGTTTGTGATCTAATTGGCCACTGTAGTATGTAAATGCTAAATATGGTTAGGTTTAGGATTGTAGTTCATGTGAGCTAATATAGCCATCTAGTCATCTCGCCTTGAAATGATCCTCATGATATCTTTGAAGTTCTTTAGTGGTTGAAGAGGTTGTAAATATTGGAGATGGATCTCAAGGGTCGGCTGAATTATTTATGTAGATTGGAATGTAAATGTGTCTCTTTGCTCAGGGTTCTTTCATCGGGCAATGGAGTCAACTCCAGCAAAGACAAGCATGTGAGGGTTGCAACTTCATTTTTTCAAATCACTCGATTGTTCATGCAAAATCAAACCAGCACTTTTGAAAATATGTTTTTGTTGCACCACCTCATTAGGTTTCTGCCAGTCGAGGCGCCTGGTCGGGTGCACCGGTTGTGAACGTTGCGCCTGCTTCTGTTTGTGGTCCGTTGGAAATAGAGCCTCTTCCCAGAAGTCCTGGAGGGGAAAAGAGAAGGTGGGTTCTCTTTTTTTTTGTTGTTGCAAAGCTGGCTTGAGTGAACCTGTCCAAGGGCTGTACCTTCGAGGGCCGAAAGACACAACAAGAGAGGCAAAAAGTTTCTGCTTGTCTGTCTTTATTTATTTTAACGAATACAAAACAGGTGAACGGTGTGCGTGTGCCAAAGCAGTGATTGGGCAGGTGAAGGGCCGCAGGGTGTTGGTATGTTGTGTAGTCTCCATGCTGCAAGTCACTTCTGTGATCTGGAGAGCAAGACAGTAGGACCATGCAGATTTTCTTGCATGCCGTTATTGTTTTGTATTAAACTGTATTTGCACTGAATGTTTAAAGGTGAACCCAAAATGTTCTTTACACTAATGTTCAATGCAGCCCTACTAGTCTAAACATTGTGATTAATATTGCATTTGTGGAAAATGAGTTACGCAGGAAAATCCAGCCATTTTTTGCCATCTTAGAGGGCGGCCATTTTGGCACGTTCTTGCAACTGAAAATGACATCACAGTTGCTCAGGGCTCCCTCAGGTAATGATCAATCACGGCTCACTTGTTTTCTGAAGCCGAGCCATGATTGGTTGTTACCTGAGGCCTAGCAACCGTGGTACCATTTTCAGTGGACGGCAAGTGGCAAAAGGGCCATCCCCTGAGATGGACAAAAACAGGTGGATTTTATTGCTTTGCTCACATTCCACATATACAATATTAATCAGAATGTCGATTTTAGAGTAGTAGGCTTGCATATAACTTCTTACTGTAAAAAAAAAAAAACAAAACATTTGGCTTGACTTCCCCTTTAAGTTTCCCATTTCAGATAGATACAAATCTAAGACGTGTCGGGCGTCTGCCAACGCAATGGGCATCTTCATTTTAAAATATATCGCGATTCATATTGAGTTATCTGAAACTATCCCGGCTGACTTTGGGGAGTATGCGGGGTGCACCCTGAAACTGCTTGCCAGTCTTTGTAGGAAATGCCACATTGAGACTACTGACAAGGTCAATAAGAAACTCATTGCATCATGTCCTCTTGAGCTGGAACCTATCCAATCGAATTGTATTGTTCCACTTAAAAATCGTACCATCATTGAATCTTATCACACCCCATGTATGGAGATACAGTACATATCGAATCATCTTTGATTGGAGACATGCACAGCCATACTTGACATGTACATGGATATCAAATTGTGCACTTGGACCTGCAGTGTCAAGTGTCGTCTGCATTTTTGTGATCTGTGAAGCTGGTATTTCCGAAAGCAAGCAAATGCATGTGTTCCCTTGTTTGTTCCAGTATTTACATGTACTGAGGAAAGGCCTGTTGGAAGGTCAGGTAGGTATGATGGCATATTGAGCTTCTTCTTTTTTTTCGTGGCTGCGACTCTCATTATAATCAATTAGTAGCTGCATTGCGTGGGGGCTTTTAATGATTTTTTTTTTTTTTTTTTTTTACCTTTGAAAAATGTCTCTCTAAAGGTGGAATTGTCTCTTTTGATTTGCTGCTTGTATTCTTTTGATTAGCATGTAATGGTAACCCATTAACTGCAGGTGACTCTTGGTGCTTCATGGGAGACTTTTTCTCTTGCCATCAATTAAATGACTAGAAACAGCCACTGCCATATTGTCAATGGATAACGACAGTGTGCATATCACGATATGCGATGACGCTTCAGAGAATATTTTCCATTCAAGGAATCTGCTGCTTCCTATTAACCGGCTGTCGCTCTCTTGGGATGAGTTATATGCAACGCTGACACACATGACATATGATTTCCTTCTCCTTTATCCCATTTTCATTGTTTTCTATTGCTTCCTGTCCAATGTTATATCCATCTACACGCCATTACCTCACCTCTCATTATTCCCTTCCTGTGCGCCCCCTCCCATTTATCCTTGTCACCCACCTCCCACCTCAATCTCCTCAGGTGTCCTCTCCCCTGCATCCTACTCGTTCATATCTCATCAAAGCTCTTAACACGGAGCCTGGCAGAACTGAGCAACAGACAGCCATCTCACCGTGGCATGAATTGGACGGCGCGCTCATGCCTCAGCAGTGATTTAGACATAAATAATGCGGCAGAGAATGTGCCTCACGCCCATGATTGCATGTATGCCTTGAAGTTAGAAATGGAAACATTTCACATAGCGTTTGAGGTTTTTTGTTGTTGTTTTCTTTAATGTGGTAAACTCCCTAAAGTGGCCATCATATCTTATACCTCATTTGACTGTTGTTTCCTCAGCTAGAGGTTCACCGGCTGCCTTACTCCTGACTGAGTTAATATTTTTGTATTCATTTTGAAGTCTCATTCTGAATACTCAGAATCAGTTCATATATTCAGACATTTTTCTTCAAACTTTCCATAAGCCCCAAATTTCAAAAGTGCATGACAGACTAAAATATTACACGCTTATATCTACTTTCACTATGTTAAAGGTCTCATGTTGTTGTTGTTTTTTTTCCCCCCCCGCATAACCTTTGATGTCCTTTACTGGGTTTGGAGGTTAATTTGGATTTGAATTGCCAAGGATACCCTTTTGAAAGCTACCGGTATTCTAATTGGTCCAAAACGCCTGGCAGATGAGACAGCTGGATTTCTCATTAATGTTTGATATGTAATTAAGTTGTGTTGTGATTGGCTCCATCTTCTCCTTCATTTGAATGTGGAAAATTTGTAGCACGCTATATTTCTCAAGGGTTACGACAGCGTGAGTGTGAATAATCAGAGGCTCAAACTTTTACTGAGTTGGTTCGCATTAAAATAGAAACAAGAGCTGGAGACAAGTACTTACCGGATATGTCAACTATCTCCCTGACTGCTCTCCAGGCCTGCTCTTTTTTTTCGTATGGTCCTGGTCTTTGGAGCAGGAGTTACTGTATCTAAAGGCTCCATGTGCCTCCTGCCTACAAACAACAACGATCTTTTAACCGCAGGGCATCATAGACTGTATTTTTTCAATGCCAATTGGCTGTCATGACGCAGCTTGACACGAATTCCTGTTGGACGCTTGTTTACTTGAATAATGAGAAGTGTACTGAGGTCACGACATCACCAAATTCTCATCTGCTCATTTTCCATTCCTCTTGCCTTTTTCATCGGCTATTGCATGTAATTGACAAACAGTATTGATGTCCGATTTAAACCATATCACAGACAGATTTATTTTGAGCCGTGTTATGGATTAGAAGGTGGTTGGTAGAAATTGGATTTTGACGGCATGGGACCTTTAACATTAGGAGACATTCAGTTGTATTACAAATGAAATAATTGAGAGATTTATGAAGTCCATGATTTTGTTTTTGTTTTTTGCCACATACTCGAACATCCTTTCATTCCACCCCAAATTGTCAAAATTGTCCATAGGTGTGTTTATGTGATCATAATGTAAGTTGTGTCTTTTGAAAATACTGTGACAGTTTAGAAACTAGCTTGTCACCTTGGTGAACAACAAAACAGGTTTGTAATTTCCTGAATCTGTCTTGTCTGGTACGTCTGCACCCTTTCTGTAGGGCTTTCTTGATGCAAAGAATGTGTTTACTTATTTGTTTGTTTGTTTGGTTTTTCTCAAAACAATGTGTGACTGACATATCTGACTTTTCCAATCACCTTTGTGATTTGAAGTGAGATTTTTCTTTTTTGCATATGGTCTGTGCCTTCTTCAAAACATTTTTACAAGCCTTTCTCAGATGAATTTGTGAAATCAAATGTTTTGGATTTCGGAGGCTTCTGAAAGTTGAAACGTTGCCGCTTCCTGAAATGTTACCCTCTTAGTTGCTTACACATATCGGCATGCTTTGCATGATTAACAAATATCATAGTGGCATGACTGATTTTATGAGGTGGATAAATTGATCACTGTGAATTAAACAGATTGGGTGTTTCTAGTCTTATCCACTTGCGTCTTTTCCTTGACCCAGGTGATGAAAAGAAATACATAGTCAGGTTTTTCCTGTCTCATTTTTCCGTGATCGCTCAACTGATCTGGTATCAGTGTCAATCTGTCACCTTGGTGAACAACAATACAGGTTCAGGTTGAGAATGTACTAAGCACATAGGTCACAAAATATGATGTTCTTCACCAAAAATGATGTACTGGTATCCAGATACTCGTTTAATTAATATGTTCCTTGTGAAATCTGAAGTCAATATCTGAAGTCTCTTTTAGTCCCGCTATCAGCTGGGTACCAAAATGTTTGAAGACTTTTTTACCTGCACTTTTTTTTTTTGGACTTAAACCCTCATTCAATTAACCATGTACTTAAATGCATATTCATATCTCCAACCTGATTACTGTAATTAAATATAGTCCATTTACACCTACCTTATGACAGAAGATCGTTGCCGTCCTAGCAGACTTCAAGAAGAAAATTTAACTAGCATAATTTATTTGCAAAACTTCTAAATGTGATTGTATTCTTTAATCTCCAGTTTATTTAAAGTTGCTGTTGTTGTAGTTGTTGTGAATGTTGATTTTCTCTTAAAACACACTAATACAACTGATTTGTGAAAAATTGATTGTATCTGTATTGTTGCCTAGTTAAAAGTGAATACTTACAACTATGACCAGAGGTGTTTATCCTTCTGAATAACGTGCATATGATATATTTAAAGAGAATAAAAACTGTTACTCTTTGACATGTCATGACCACGTCACCGTGTATTTGATTCTTTCTGCTTATTTAAAAACATCTTAAGTTATAACACACCATGAATTTGTTTGCATTTTTTTTTTTTTTTTTTTTTTTTTGCGGATATCGCTGGTAAGTTGTATGAAAGCTGAATCACGATTTTGCTTTTGGCTGTATTCAAGTTAACAAGTACCAATTTATTGCACGTTTTGTGCTTTCAAAGGGCTTCATGTTTCATTCTTACTATTTCTCCCTCCTCCCATCTGCTTTGTCTGTAGTTTGCCCCTGGCTGATGACCTGATCGAGACGTGCATCGATGACGTCCTAAGGACTCCTGCACCTCTCGCCGCTCCCACCGCGAAGGCTATTGAGGACGCGGGTCCAAGTATGGTCTATTCCCCTTCTGGTGCCACTGGCGAAGAATTACTCAGCCTCACCGGTCAGTCAATGCAGAAGCTAGCAAACATACTGTTAAAAATAATATACAAAGCACGCAAACTTCAATGGATTGTATTGGATTCACTGTATTAGACCATCTAAATGAGAAATGATTAAGCGTCACTAGACTTGAGTTTACATACCATAATGTGATGACCTCATCTGCACTGTTCAGCTTTATGGAGACATGGCTGAAGGCTACAGGGTTGGCCGTGGGTGAAAAAATGTCACTTCTTAGGTCAATAATGTGGAGACGAATTATTTCTGGTTCATACTTGTCAGTATTGTTTCATTTGAGTGCGTAGCAGTTGGCTGTACAATTTAATGTTGATTGTCCGCCCATGAAGAAACAGCAGCGCGTCTGAAGCAGCTCGAGTTGGAGAGCAGTCCGCGTTTGACCAGGAATAATGTCAACATCAATATGGTCATGAATAATCAGGTGGGTGATGATTCTTGGAAGTAGTTCCGTTATCTTAAGCATAGAAAGCAGAAAATTAATTGAAATCAATGATTATCTCTGTCTTTCTCTTTTTGTTTCCAACTCTTTCGCTTTCTTTTTCCTACTACCCAACCGACATCCAAAGGAGGACATTGTGAAGCTCAGAGAGAAATGCTGTCTGAACAGTGCAGGAAGTAGTCCTGTTGTCACACCACTGCGAACCCCAGGAGACCTGAAGAGTAACATCCTCAAAGCGCAAGCTGAGGCCACAACGCTCAAGGTGAAAAAGAAATAATAGTCACTGGGAGAAAAATCCAGCCATTTGAGCCTAATCAAGATTAATTTTAGGACAAGTACAGTCTACCCTGGACAGGTCGTCGGCCAGTCACAGGGCACATATGTATACTGTTCTTTCTTTTTTTTTTTTCTTTCATTTGTTTTCTGTCTGTTCCATAGGTTGGTTTGGAGGAACATGTCACAATGATGGGAGATAAGAACTGCAATCTGCAGGAAACCTCCTTCAGGTGTGAAAGGCCTTGATTGAATTTTTTGTGAGCTGTTTTCCGACAGTGTATTTTCTCATTAGCACGCTTACATTGGACAATGCTTGATTACCTCCAAATAATCTCTCCCGCATCGTGCATCTTAATCTCTCCATATCCATACCAATGGACAATGCATTATCTCAGCCAATTCCGATATTCTTTTCATTTACGCTTTGAATATGTATGAGGATCATTTGCATTTCAAACACTGCATTACCAGTTTTTTTATCCGTCTCAACAAGGCTCAAATCGCAAATGTTTTCAGAGCATGAAAATAAGTTATTGTGTAACATTTCTATTTCTTTGAGTTGTAACGGACACGTATTATGCAATTGTTTTCACAAGTTAAAACAATTCCCAGATATCGTCATCACTAAACAGTTATAGAAAACATTACACACTCAGATTTGGGCTCATTGAAATAAGGCCGTTTTAAGGAGCCTATCATGCCAGTGAGTGACTCTATGCACCGTTCCTTATACTGCTCGGCTAATGGCAAGTCAGACTTGTATTACCTTGATAACCGAAGCTGAGCCTGAGGGTTGCTACTTGAACGTCCTATGAGGATTTGGAAAGTGTATTTACTTGTGAATGGGCACATCACGAAACACAAATACATCCCATCTCATCGTTGAGAACTTCACCAAGCAGTCAATTATGTGCCGGGTTCCAGTTAACACTCTCTTGTCATGGGCAGAGAAACTTGACGTCAGATGATGTAAATTAATTGGAAGTGCAGAATGACATGCTCACAGTCACGTTTTCAGAATTGGTAAAGTTGTATAACTGTAACCCAACCTCGCTTGAAGACAGCTTTATTCGACTCAGTCCTATATCTGTAATGTTGTGCCAGAAACGAAGAGGAGGGTATCTAATGGGTCCCATCTGTTGCCAGGTTGAAGTCACGCACCAGCCGAATGGGCAGTAACTCATCTCTGTCTGTTAGCAGTCGCCCTGACATACAAGACTCATGGGAGCTGCTCAAGTCTTCTTCGATGGTGTCATCAGCAGGCACCAGGTTAGTGACTGTCTTTGACCGGTGAAGTACAGAAGAGGTTGATTAGCCTCCTTAAAATAATCTGTGAAAAATGTTTTTGGGGAAAAAAAATCAGGCTGTTACAGGCCAGCAGGCCACTCTCAAGTTTTGCGGACATCTGTGTCCATCTGTCTGATTGGGTGTGTTAAGTCACATGAGCAGAGTTCTGCCTGGATACTGTGGGCATCCTTGCTCCAGAGACTTTACAGTTGGTTGACACTACAGACAGACATGTTGTCGCTTGAGTGGACAATTCACAAGGCTGATATGTCTGCAGGCCCACTGATGCAGAAAATGCTCAGATAGTCTTCCTAATGTTTGTCTAGTGGAAAAAATACTTAGCGTTTTGTGTGTGTGTGTCGTGTGTGCGTTTTGTGTGTGTGTGTGTGTGTGTGTGTGTGTGTGTGTGTGTGTGTGTGTGTGTGTGTGTGTGTGTGTGTGTGTATTTTAAAGAAGAGCCAATGGTTCGTGAAAATATCGAGACAAAAAGACATTTTACCCCAAGGATGTTTTCTCATTGCATTTTTCATTTCTCCTCTTCATCAGTGCTGAGAGGTTAGCTGAAGATTTAAACCCTCTTCCACTCAAGTTGCCCTCAGATCCCGTTGTTGAAGGCACCACACTCAAGGTAATTCATCCATCGGCTTTTCGAGACTGTCCCCTGCCCCATGAGAGCGCAGCGTTATGTGGAATTCAGTCATTTGTACAAGTCTTGTGTGTGTGTGTGCGTGCGTGCGTGCGTGCGTGCGTGCGTGCGTGTGTGTGTGTGTCCTCATCAGCCCAGTGCAGCTTTTGTCTGATTTAAGTGTCTTCATGTTACATTACAGGTTAAGGGAGAGGAAGTTGATGTTCCAAACACGACCCCACCTCTGCCTGATAATTTGATTGACTTCACTGACCCAATCCCTACTGTAAGTTTTTTTTTTTTCCAGAACAATTATTACTGTGATAATTGATGTATGTGCTTATGGGAGAAGGCCACAGTTCCCATGCAAGTACAGAGAAGTTGCAAACTGCACACAGGAAGGGCGAAACACATTTAAGCCCAGATGAGCACTAACCACTGGGCTCCCCCTTAACCAAAAGGACATCTGAACCTTATCTTCAAACAACTTCTTCTGTGTGTGATGTTCTTTTGAACTCATATCCAGGCCTCTGATGCTATCACTGGATCATAGTTTCATAGGACTGGCTTTAACATGCCACCTCGAGGGATCTCCAAAAGCAGTCCAGGGGAGACCTTCTCCAAGGACTCACTTCTGTGAATTATTGGAAGAGCAAAAGGATAAGAGGAGGAAAATAATATCCTGTGTTGAAATTCTTTCTGATCCTCCCACAAAACAGTTGCAAAAAGAAACGCTTAGATCAGAGGTTGCTTGGAAGTCCTAAATTAATATCTGGATTACATTATGTATGCTCTTGAAATATAGCATCCACTATTTATGTACCATATCAAGAAATTGTATTAGGTTATGAATTCCAATTAGATGTGGACAAATTCATGATGAACCTCCATCCATCTGTTTTGCATAATATGTCTCCTAATTAGGGACCGAGCTGACTTTGGATGAAAGGCAGGGTACACCCAGACAATCGCAGGGCACACATGGATGAACAAGCATTCACATTGACTCCTATGAGTAACTGAGGAAAATGTTGTCTTTTGAACCTAGTGTGTATGTTTTTGGAATGTGGAAAGGTGTGCCTGAAGAAAATGCAGCTACGGAAGGTCGCAAATAAGATTCCAGCGCGGAACTGTGAGGCAAATATGCTGTCCACGAGCTCACTGTGCCGCCCTTGAGGCATAAAAATACATAAAGCGCTGAATATGAAATACTGGACTGGTTATCAGATGTTAGCAGGAAACACCCCCCCCCCCCCAAAGATATTTTATGAAGCAGTAGATTTCCAGCCGGGAACGATGAACCCTTTTCTCCTGAAACTTTCTTCACTCGAGGCTTGTTGGTTAAACTCTGAAGGGGGTGAGGTTCATTTCCCATGCTAACTATGTAGCCAGAATCTTCTTCCTCATGCTTGGACTGTCCAGACGGCAATGCAATTGTAGTCACGCATCATCAGATGCGTGTTTGCAGAATATCAATACAGTATTTGATATTTGTTCCTAAACAGAGAAAGAGTTTGTTGTTGTTGTTTTCCAGTTGCCCCCTGTGCAGTCACCAAAAGCTTCTATCACCCCTCGCTGGATCATTCCTACAGCTGCTGTGAGCAAACATAATTTTTCTTTTTTCTCCTGTCTGCCAATTAGGTGCGCTTCTTGTTTGTCCAAATTGTCTTTTAGAACGCTTTGACTTGTTGGATGACTTGTTAGATGCTGACCGCCTTCCTTCTCCCTTCCCCCACCCCACGATCCCCTTCTAATGCAGCCTCCTGGTATCTTTACTAACGGCCTGCTCGACCTTGAGCCCCCTACTAAGGTCGATGCTCTTCCCCCCGCGGATGGGGGTGCGGCTCTCACCTCAGCCCTCCCTTATGCCGCTCACACATTTCACAGCAACTCAGTGAGGTAAAGTCAAGTCTTTTCAGATCGGCACAAACCATATTTGCTGAGCTATTTTTTTTTTAAGGGCGCTTTTTGATCCGTTGCTGCCCCCTGTTGACGCAGCTGGAATTTGATTCACATGAGACGATTTCTGCTATCATTTATTTAACATTTCTCTACCATTTCAAAGCATTCCAAAACTCAAAAGATTCATTCAATATTCACAATTTTCCAACAATTCAAATCATCCAGATAAAAAATGTTGCAACAAATGGAGAAAATTGGTGAATGCACCTCAAATTTGCAATTTATCAATGATTTACAACCATTTGTAGCTTTAAAAAGGTTTTGAATAATTTCATTAAATTAAATCCCAAATATAACATATTATATGACTATAACTGAACATTTTTAATTTTATTTTTTTTATTCACTTTTTTTTTTTATGTCCATAACATCCAAATTATTTCTCACACTCCTAGTTTGACTGACTGATTAAAAAATGTTTCCCAACGCTGAAGTCCACACCGTGCAACTCAAATTTATCAGTACTTTAGCTTTAATTTGTTTCATATACAAGCCTGTAACTAAGGCCGAACAAAGAACCAAATTCAAATCCACATTGCGGTGTTGTAGAATGCGATTTTGTAGTTGCAAAGGCTGCAATTTGGGGGTTGGAGTGGTGGTGGAGAAACCCTTTTGCTTTGTTCTAGTTGCCCAGTAGGCTTGATATCTATAGATGCGCATACACGGATATGTATATTTATGCTTTTTTTAAGTGTTCTGTTTTTCTATTTGTGTGTTTGACAGTTTTTTTCTCCCTTAAAGTGCGTTGCATAAAGTGCACTGTGGCTCTCCTTGCCCACAGCACCTTCATTGCAGCCCCCCTCCCACCCTACTTGAGCGGCAACGTAAAAAAAAATCAACCAGGCCATTGCCCAACTCATTAATTAGTATTTGCATTTTTACCAATTCATCAAGTAATTGATCCCTTTTAGTTTTGAGGGATGAATGCCTTGAATGTGTATCTTTGAGTAAAAAAATATATATATATTTTGTTCCCCTTGCAGCATTATGGGTCAGCAGGCAGCCTCGGAGGAAGGAGTCACACCGAGAGGTCTCTTGACCACTGAGCTCTAACAGCCACAAAGGAGCTGGGCCAGCAACACAGCATGCAGTTTCAAGTAACAACACACTCACATTAACAAACTATCAGACTGGATTAGGAGAAAAAGTATTTTCATCATAACCTCACATAAGGCTTAGTTTGAGCTTAAAAAAACAAAACACTGTAGTCCATCATCCAAGTAACGATTGGTTCCATCCATTTTGATCCTGACAAGCATCAAACAGTCTTTTTTTTTTTGTGACATTTTTATTTTCATGTAATGCATTCCACTGGACTGAAATTGCACTGACTGTTGGAGTATACGTTGGACTGTAAATGGAAGAAAGACAATCAGCATGTTATTTGAAGCGAGAACAACTGGACTTTTTTGATATCTGGAATAGGATTCTATACATTCCTTGAGCTGCCATTTGGATTTTTTTTTTTCAAGTGTCACTGGATTACTTTTGCGCTACTGGAGCATTTGACACGGGCATGGATGAGGATCATGCTTACAGATTTTTTTTTTTTATATAACTTTTTTTGGTTTTTTTTTTTTTTTTAATATGCTGTATCACACTGTTTTTACATCGTGGTATCAACATTGCGCTCTCGTTTGACCCTGAATGATTAACCCAACCAACCCAATAATGTGAGGTTTTATTGTTTTGACTGAATGTGATACTGTCCATGATTTCCCCTTGGATTTCCATTTTTTTGTTGTCAATTAATTCTTTATTTTATTTTTCTTAATTGAGGAATGTAATTTGTCAGTCGCGTTGAGCTGTAAAATGCCAACCCTGCTCTCCGGAGGACATGTTGGAGTTTCACAGAGCAAATTGCAGATATGCGGGAACATGTAGTTGGGAAAAAAAAATTGTGCTATATTACTGTCTCAATTTGAGACTGTTCTACATTTCTCCAAAAATAATAATATTCAAGAGACTGCTCAGTTTTTCTTGCTTTGTTAAACAGGGTTCCCACGGGTCAAAAAATCCATGAAAAAAAGTTGTAAAATTATGTTATTAATTGTCCTTAATTTTCAGGGAAAGCTTCTAAAATCCTTAAAAATTAACCTGTGGTTTTCATTCATTGGTGTTTGTCATTTCCCCCCACCCTTCCAATTAATAGTTTTGTCGGAAAATGCACCTGGCGCCCTTCCCCTCAAACCCCGCTGTCGGGCTACATGCCTTCCTGGTTCACGCTCTGCTTTTCCCCCCCGTCTCCGATCAGTTCCGATGATGATCACGTGATCACTTTGGGTCATTTCCGGCCAATTTTACATACAGTATGTCAAATAAAAGGTTAGCTGATTGCCCCTAAAAATAAAGATGTGCCCTTCCTTTGGCAGCAATGATTTGAACACCAGCTCAGTGATATGTGGCTTTCTGTTCATTAAATCCACCCTGAATCCCCTGCTGAATGGAGAAAAAGTCCTTTAAAAAATGGCTAAATTAGCCCTCAAAAGTCCTTAAAAGGTCCAGAAATAAAAAGCAAGTGGAAGAGTGGGAACCCTGTCTAATTGTAGTGGATATTTTGTTCTGGCTCTGGCTTGTTCATGTTGTCTTGTTCACGTTGCCCTCTTGTGGAAACTCAAACGATCTGTTCTGAAAATGTGCACGAAGCCCTGCCCCTCCATTGCTGATCGTTTTACGTGACGGATTTCTTCAGTGTTATTTTGTATTTGTGAATTGAAAATCTAATTCTATATTTTTGGACTATATTAATGACACATTGATTCTTAAATAGTGATTTTTTTTTTTAGGTTTTTATTTCCGACCCCTCCCATCATTGTGATATTGTCATTTATAATGGAAGCTGACTGTTGTCCCAATCAGTGCTGTTATTTATGCGACCGTTCAGTGTTCACATAATACATGTCCATGCGTGTGATTAGGTCACAGTTGTGTGAAGTATTCAGCTGGCTGTAAATGCAGGATGATACGTTTATCATTTGACCGTGGCAGTATTGTTAGCGTGCTCACAAAGGACAATAACAGCATTAAAGTCATTAAAAATGTAGGAAACAAAATGAATAACAATGCCTGTTGTGATGCTATTCTTAGGAACTTGATCACGGTTCAGTAAAGCTTTCCTAAAGGGCAGTAATTACCGGTACTTATTATTAGTATTTTTTTAAGTATCTTGAAACATTTCAGAAGTGGTTAAATGTGATTTAAAATGGTTAATTCCTGTCCCATAAAACAGTGAATCAGTACAAATGTATGTGTCAGGGAGAGGTGGGGGGAAGAATACATTTGTGCCTTAAGATATGAGTGCGTTCTGTGACCACACTTGTATCTCAAATAAACTTTTACCCATTAAAATGAATGAAAATGCAATTAATCCCTTCCAGCCGCCCCCCAACAAAAGCCCAACAAAAATGTTTTGAAGTAATTTTTAAGAAGAGAAATAGTACTCTATGAAATTGCACTTAAAGATATATTTAAAAAAAAACATAATCATGGCATCATTAAATATGCAAGGCAGATTTATTCTATAGGGCGTTTCAAACACAGGATAACTGAATGTGCTTTATATCATTAAAAGTGAAATATTTCCAAGCATTTACAAACGAACGAGTGAAAGGCATTTCAAAGCAAAGTAAATAAATAAAAAGTATCTTTCTAAAACTCGTAAAAGAATGTACATTGCAAGATTTTGGATGAATTCATTTTTTAAATGCTTTTAATGTTCTTGAAGACTCTTGGCTCCTCAGTAAACCGCAGCAATGTTAGTTGTTCTTTGCAGAAGACAAAGACTGTAGTCCTGTGAACAGTATAATGTTGTCTGTGCTTAAATATCTACTGGCTAAAGGGTTAGAACATCATGACTCCAATATTTGTTAGCTCTATGTTGTTTTGCATTATTTGTCAGTATTAAGAAAGTGAACTTATCTAAAGCAAAGTTATTGGGCTGTTTTTAAATATATTCTCATTTTTGTATGTTTAGTTTGACAGTAAACACCAAATGGGAGTGGCATTAACGGAGCTTCTTTTTTTTGGATAAATCTGCCAAATTGCTGCTTGTGAAGTGAGCTGAATTTACTGCCACCACCCAGCGGTTGTATTTCAAATTCATGCTATCAATTCAAAGCAAAACAGTACAATAAATAAAAATCATCACTCACTACTAAGTCGTAGAAAGGGTTCTGTCAGTCGTCATCTGTACCTGTGGGTAAAAAACAAAAAAAAGTGAGCTGAATTTACTGCCACCACCCAGCGGTTGTATTTCAAATTCATGCTATCAATTCAAAGCAAAACAGTACAATAAATAAAAATCATCACTCACTACTAAGTCAAAAATCCAAGTTACAACATTTACACAAAAGCACTGAATGGAATCTCACTACAACATCCAACGACAGGCCAATGCAAATGAGCAAAATATTTGAACTTTATACCTTCACCGTGACTACCAACTCCTTAAATTTCACCAGTTTTTCCTAAAATCTTCCAAAATTCACCCCTAGCCCCCCCCCCCCCCCCCCCCCCCCCCCCCCCACAAAATTCCCCCCTAGCCCCCCCCCCCCGGGCACCACGTGGTACAATTGAATAAACATCAATATGCTGGTTAACATAGGCCCTTTCTAGCAGATGTACATTTCAATAAACATGCTCATTGTCCATAATAGAAAAAAATTCATCACAGGTTTAAATTAACACAATTTGCCACCAGAGGGCAGCAAAGTCCATTTTTTTGTTAGTTTCCCGCTGCAGTTTAGCTGCTTTGAAATCAATCCACCCGATGTCCACTTGTTGTGACGTCAGCTAAACCGATGATCAGGTGCACATTTCAAACCAGTTTCATTCTACTTTGATGCGTATTGCTTGATCTCCAAGCAGCACCCGTTGGGTGTAGTGTTGCTGCATGATGAACAGACTTAGTGACATCAGCATGATCATTTCAAGTGTGACAACGAGCTAAGTCTCAAGCTCTGCTCATGTCTATAAACGGCTGGCCAGCGTATCCGACCTTCAAGTTGGGTGTCTCCGCAACATCTTGTCCAGGGGCCGCTCACAAAGTTGGATTCAGGAGATTCGATTACAAATGACAGACGTGTTGCTTTAGATCGTGCTTCACTTTGCTGGCTGATGAAACTCAGAAGAGAGACTGTGATTTGTGAACTGCTGTCACGTTGCCTCCCGTACTGAGGGAAGTGATTGCAACTTGACTGATCGCCCCACGCAAGTTGGGGCCATTATTAAGCAGAGCCACAACCCACTGTGGCTCAATAAGTCGGACAGGCCTGCTCTCCTCAGCATATTGGTGATGCGCACACACACACACACACACACACACGCACACACACACACACACACACACACCCTCTCAAATGAATAATGGATTGCCGTACAAGGACCTTGTGCCAGTTCTTGATTGCGTTGGCATGTTCAGAGCTTCCGTGGATAGCGTTGATGTCTCGATCATCGTCAGGCTATTTCATTCGCTTTGTCATGGCACTGTTCAAATTTGCTCAAAGCATATTAAAATCAACAGTGCTGAGCGTCACTACTTAAACTATATCTTCCAAAATATGAGTTAATGTAAATCTATGAACTGAAGCGCGGGTCGTTCAGTCAGTGGTCTTTCGACGGAATTCAACTTTATCATCTACTGTTATCTGAGACTTAAGATGGTCAGTAAATATGTCAATATGAGTCTATTTCTAAAGGTATGAAGCAGATATGACAATGATGACTAATAGTGTGACAGCTGCACAGTGTACAATGCAGTGCACAGTGCAAATTGCAATGATATAGAAGAGGGAAAAAAAATGGTCAAGAGTGTCATTTATTTTGAGTGCCATTACAGTATTGAAAACCTGATACTGTTTCCTTTATGTTTTACTTTGAAACATTTCCAGCCCAGTAGTGTCTTGGTTTTGCTCTATTGGTGGTTATTGTTTTAGCACCAGCTGGATTGGAGGGTGTGCCGCTTCAGCGATGCACCTTTGTCCTGTTTCCAGTCAAGCTCAGTCATGAATTTATCCATCCATCGTTTTTCTGATCCGCTTCTCACAAGAGTCGCGGGGCATGCTGGAGCCTATCCCAGCAGGGCACACAGAGACGAACAACCATCCGCGCTCACGCTCACACCTAGGGACAAATTTGAGTGTTCAAACAGCCTGCCATGCATGTTTTTGGAATGTGGGAGGAAATCAAGAGTACCCAGAGAAAACCCACGCAGGCACGGGGAAAACATGCAAACTCCACATAGGAAGGCCAGAGCTGGAATCAAACCCGGTACCTCTGCACTGTGAGGTCGATGTGCTAACCACTGGCTGACCTGGCCGCCGTCATAAATTTAAGTACTGCCAAATTGCCAAGCCTCTGTCAGATTATTGACCTTGCTCGCTGTATTGCCTCAAGTGATATTTTCTTGACCTTAATGTTTATAGTCGCTCTCGTCCGCTTTTCTTCCTATTTAGTAACCGAAGAAAAGTTTTTTCTTAATATTAAATTAATCTATTTTTTTTTTTTGATACTCCTTACACCCTCTGCTGGGACACGACCGTACAGATTAGTTGAATGTTTACTGACATTTTGCTCATTGTGTCTGCCGAGAGCGGGACGTGTGTGCAATGCCAGGACATGATGACATAATGAACGTTTATGGTCATTTGCTCAGCCCAGCATTGCCAGCAAGACACAAATAGGCTGAATAAATGTTGTTTTGCTCACATGACGTGAGTGAAGTGATGTGAGGCAGCGTAACACTCAGCGAATCAATCGGCAATGTGACACGCCACAGTAATATTGAAATATGGAAACGTTTCTCAATTTAAAAAGTGATAGCTATTAGAAAATGTATTTCTGTCTGGCTGATCGCATTTCTTTTCTCTCATTAGTTTTGCTGTCCGGTAGCTCACTTACCATACTTTGTCGCAGTGTGTTCTATTGGTATTGAATATATATATTGATATTGAAAAAATAAATGTGAATG